TTTAATTTTATGGAAAGGAGGGCGAAAGGGACATTGGCTTATTAAATACAGATAGATTGGGAAATGTACACATTTTTTATGTTTACTTAATTATTAATATATATTTTCTTATTGAAGTATAAACTTCTTTAGGCGCTTTTGGCATTTTTGAACAAAAAACAAAATAATGTATTTTTGAGATTTGGAAAAAACCATTGAACTCGCGACACTGTTACCGTTACCGTCACCTCTGTATAAGTATCTACATATATTGGCCCCGTTTACACGAGAGTTGAGTTTGGGTTGAAATACATTGATAATATAACTATATATAATATAAACATATATTATGTATATACGTACAACATAAATATATATATTCATTTCGGCATTTTTCGTTTTTTTTTAATAATAGGGATTGACGTATGAAATTGCCATTTTATAGTAATAGATACTTTGAATTAACATAAAACCTTCATGGTGTGAGATTTTCGTGTAAAACTTTTTTCTCGTCTATCCTATTTTAAAACATGTGCATCATTCGATTTTCGACTTTCGTGTTCCAATTTTTCATTTAAATCATCAATTTCATACTTTATAATCCCTAATATATTTTAAAGTAAATTTTTACCCGGTCACTTTAATATCGATTTTTTTCAATCGATATTTCTTGATAAAAGTAGTCTATGTGCTATTCCAGACTATTATCTATCCCTTTACGAACTTTTTATCCAGATCAATGCAGATTGAGTTACAAATATCATTCTTTATACATCTCACAAAATTTATTTATTTGTTGGTTTATTCAGTTTTCCCCTTCTTATCCATTTTTCATACCAGCACTTTTCACTGACAAAGGTTGTCTTTGATCAAGGAAAAAGTACTGTTTCTGAACAATACGTTAATAATAATTTTAGACGGCCGCCTGGCTTGACAGATTACAATAAATGAAACAACGGTCGAAACCGAATATTTTTATGAATCTTCTGTCAGATGCAGAAGTTTTATTACGTTTTTTATTTTCTTTTCCTTTAAAAGACAACTCTCTAACTAGGAATATATCCTGTGTCACGGGGGACTTTACATACAGACATGAAACGGATACAAAGAACACCCAGACTCAGAACAACAATTTGTCGATCACACAAAGTGTTTTCCTAACAACGTTCGAACACAACACTCAAAGCAGTAGGAAGCGGCGAGGTGACCGTTTAAACCACTAAACCATCCCTGCCATTTGGTTATTCGACAATCAGAGGATACCAAGCTCACCTAACTATACCAAGATGGTACATTAAAAAACTTTTCACTTTGATCTATTGTTTGCAAATACTCAAGCAACAGAAGCGGTTAAAAGCAAGAAACTGTCCACTTGGGAACAATGTATCAAAAACTGATGAAACCGGTTAACCTTTATTACTTTCTTGTTTCAAATTGTCCATAAGTTACGTCACACAAATTTTCAAATTTTAACGCCCGCCCCCTCCTTGTCACAGATGGCCTCATTTCTAAGACCTCTTCGCTGGAGGGGTATATATATTTTACCATTAAAACCCAAAACTTTTAATGAAATCAACATCAAGCTTAACATTATGTCGACAAAGCCGTAATCAAGTTCATTTTGCTGCCATCTAATAATGAATTTTAGGATGCCAAATACCCTACAATGTGTTAATTTCATTAATGTTTACTACTGGTTTTCAGTCATTATTCCGAACAATTATATGAATAAATTCAATAAAGGTTGTACAAACGTATCACTTATATCCCTAAGAGATAAGCAGATGTGTAATAATTTAGCCACTTTTGTCGATTATAGGAAGCATTCCTATTGCTGTTTACCGGCCACTTTAAGAATAAGATAGGAGAAACAGGAGTTTAATCACAACAAACAGCCTTTAATTTTCCACTGCTGGACATAGGCCTCTCCTTATAAAGGAGTTTTTGGCCTACTATACCACGCTGGCCAGACGGGTTAGTACAGGGTTTGTTTCAAATTTTCCTTATCTTTACAGTTCTGTTGTCCTGCGTAGTTTGTTTCTTTAGTCATATCTTGCAACACCCGCGAGATGAATAGTTGACACTTCGGATTCTTAATCCGTCACCACAGGGAGTTTAATATTAAAGGAAACGTTAACGTAGGAAATTGTAGAAAAATATTTCTTAATTAATTTATACCTTTTTCTGTATCTAGAAAGACTCAATTTTTAATGCTTTTTGCGGATAACTGCGTTATGAGAAATCCACTTTATTATTTCCTGGAATTTTGTAATTAAGTCATGACGTCTAGTGGCCGAAGAAAGCGACCTATTTTTGTAAATTTATCAAATTAACGTTTTCAAGAAATCCAGAAGAAATTAATTAAATACTAGACTTTGCGGATTCGCACTCGGTAATATAGTTTTTGTCACTAACTTTTTGGGGTAAATATTAACCTAGTCTTAGGATTATTATTATTAGGATCTTCCACTCCACTGTAATCTGTCAGTGTAATAAATTTTATCCAATTTTATTCAACCGTTCTATCGTAGATAAGTAACAAACATTCATCGATCCAAACTTTCACATTAATAATATAACATTAGTAAAAATTAACTACCAAAAATTTTGGTCTAGTTTTTGGTATACTCGTATTACTTTGACATAGTAGTAACCGCAAAGATTGCTCAGTATTAGTAAATATTGTACATAATTTATCGATCGTGGACGGGGCGGGATTTCCCCTCCACCCGCCATAACGGCCAGCCGGACGTTACCTAAATAGAGAATTTACAGGAAGGTGGTGTCCACGCCGTTGTGGGCAGGCACTAAGAGGGGTCCGGATGTCTTAATAACAGCAGTTCCCGGACCCTTCGTATTACAGCCGCAGAGTAGCACACCGTGTGGTTTTAGTCGGTCCGATTCCGAAAACCGTAAAAACACTAAAACCGTAACACGTAAGAAACGCCTTCGTTCAGCAATGGACGATAAATTGAATTCGAAATTGAATTTAGGCTTACGTTGAGGAATAACTGTAAGATTTTAATCAATGTATTTAGAGAATCAAATGTAAAACTAGTTCAACTTCGATTGCACGGATGGCGTAGTGGTTTAAGCGGTCGCCACGCCGCTTTCTATTGCGCCGAGTGTTGTGGGTTCAAACCCCACATGGGATAACACTTTGTGTGATCCACAAATTGTTGTTCTCAGTCTGGGTGTACTTTGTGTCCGTTTCATGTATGTTTGTAAAGTCCACCGCGACACAGGATTTATTCCTAGTGCGGGAGTTGTCTTACTACCATCAAAACGAAAAATCTCACAATTTGTAATCACTAGAAATCGACAAGAAACAATATGCTATGTCATGTCACGCCATTAATCTTTGTTGCTTGCGATATTAATATCATGCAGGACAATACACGATGCGTCAAATGGAACCTGCGATATCATGCAATAAATTATAGTGTCGACTTGACTGGACCGTTTGTTCCTAAATGGCTGACGCGACGTAACAAAATGACACTTGAAATGAAAAGAGGTGACACATTGAACATAATGTCGGGCAATTTATAGTTACCGTTGTTACTACAAGATTTCTAAGAAATAAAGAACCTTATATAACCTTAATAAAGAACTGCTGGACATAAGCCTCTCCTTAGAAAGAAGGTTTTGGCCTACTGGTTTTGGTCTGGCCAGCGTGGTGTACGCTGGCCAGACGTGTTGGTAAAGGGTCTGTTTCAAGTTTTTCTTCTCTTTGCAGTACTGTTGTCCTGCGTTTGCTCCCTCAGTCGGCTGTTACGACACCCACGGGATGAATAGGGGTGGTGACACTCCGTATTCTTTATCCGTCACCACACGGACAACACATAAATACAACAATATTGTCATTAGGTTTCACCTGAAGGCCAATTCTCGTAATAAAAGTTTGGTCTCAATTCTGTTCATCTCACAACTGTCATAAAAGGTATTTTCGTAGTAAAGTATTAAACATCCAACGTTGTCTGTAACGTGATTATATCGTATTGTAACCGAAAGTTAAATCGGTAATCTGCTAGTCTTAGTAACACTTTACTATTTTACTACGAAAATAACTTTTACGAAAGTTGGTCGGAAATGAATTGAGGCCGAACTTTTATTACGAGAATTGGCTTTCTGACCAAAGGCACCTGCTAATCCCGAGTCACAAATGTGCTGCCACTCAAAGTACACCCATGATCAGAAAGGTAGGTGGGTTGAGAACCCCCCGCATCCTGGGATGGGGCTTCGGTATCCTCACTCCTCACACCGTGAAAAGCAACGGAAGCGAGCTGATCATGCATTAATCCCAAGTCAAATCTCAAAGCCGACAACGCCCTTATGTCTAAGCTGCAACTGTCAATGGTTGGTGGCGACACTAATCCATTAAAAATAAACTTTTGGGGATCATGTTATAATACCAGTGGGAACCTTGAATAAAAGTTATTATTATTATCTAGCGTATTTAAATAAAACTACCCAAAGATTTAGGAAAACTCGTGTTACAAATATAATTTATTAATTCAAAAGTACTAAACTTAAAGAAATCAAACTTTGCGGTAGTTTACAATTATTACAAATACAGTCTTTGCACTTAAGTAATTTTATCGCAAAAGGGCAATATGGCCTCCATAAGTATTATAAACAAAGCAACTGACAAAAAAAGTCACAACAATTACACATTTCTAATTTTTAAACCTAAAAAATTAAACAGGATAATCATAAAAAAGTCTGCACGACGTAAATTTAAAACAAATACATAAAATGCAATTGTGTGTGATTTATTATGTAACATTAGGTATTTTGATAAAAATAATAAATTAAAAACAATATTTTGACGTCTTTTCATATCTTATAATTATATATTAATCGACCTTAATTATATCAGAACTTATTATGATTTAGTCCCAAATGAAAAAGGTATATTCTATAATATTATTACATGTTGTACATAAAAAGACGTTAAAAATATTTACAACGTCAAAAAAAGTCGTTTGAATGAAGAGTGCAAAAGTACATTAAGAAGATTACGTAGACGTTCCACCTTGTGCCGTTTCCTTGAGCCTGTTGTTCTCGGCTACTAGAGCTTGGACTCTCTGTTCGTACTTTTGTCTTAATTCCTAAAAGAAAAAAGGTTTTTTCATTGTACTAAAATTAAAATGGTCATGAAAATTAAATAAGACTGATGTCATTATAATGTTATATAATGTTATCGTTACCCGATGTTTCGTTCGAAATGTTATGTTGGTATTTCGACACATGATACTTACAGTGTTCGACACTCAACACTTATGGCGTTCGACACACTTCACTTACAGCATCTAGAGAATACTGTCAAGTATGTTTTAGACACAATGCGATTCCATCTAAAATTATCTAAGTAATGGTTAATAGTTTTTTTTTGCTATAGCATCATGGTGTCTAGAAATAATCATGATGGATAGCAAGAGGCTCGCTGGAGAAACAAAAATGGAATGTGAGCCAAAGCTAGGTAGTAGATCACTTAAACAAATTCAAAATAAGTCTTGTGTGTCTCATGATTTAAAGGTATATTTAAAAAGAAGGCTCTTGATGTACAAGCCAAATGTATCATCATCAGCCTATCGCAGTCCACTGCTGGACATAGGCCTCTCCCATTGCACGCCACTTGGATCGATTTTGGGCTTCTCGCATCCAAGATTGCGCAAGATGGCTGGCAGGAGCCAAATGTATAAATAAGGTATTTTCAATTTTCAGCAGATCTCTGTGGATGGGGTTTAAAAATTTGAGGTATTTATCAAAAATGTAAAACAACGGAAAAAAAAAACAAAATGTAAAACAAGTATTTCCGCGTAATTATCTACGCCACTCTTAATATCAACTTTGAACATCAAAATCACAAAATTAAAAGATCGTTTAGAATTTTCAATTCTACTGCTGATGATAATTATTCTCCTATTGTTTCACTAAAAGTTTGTACCTTAAATATGGCGAGTTGGGTTTCGTACTCCTTTTTCAGATCCTGATTAAGAGTTGTGCTGGTGTTAGCGCGCTCTAACACCAATCCGTATCTGTCCTTCTCCGCTTTGAATCTAGCTTCCATTGCCTGCAGCCGGTCCTGAAACAAAGTAATAATAATAATAATATTCTACCACATTCACACAACGCCATCTAGTCCCAAACTAAGCAGTGCTTGTACTAATGCTACTAGACAACTGATATAAATAACATATATACTTTTTTTTGTAAATACATAGAAACAAACAGACCAAATCAAACAGTAAATGTTGATGCACACAAATATTTGCCTTGAGCGGGAATCGAACCCGCGACCTTTGGAATAGCAGTCCGTTACACAAACCACTACGGCATTCGGTCTTCAATCGATTTTTGTTATTCATTGTGACTTTGAACACTACATTAAAATAATATCGGGTACTGCTGATAATTCATAGAAATTTTAAGACCTGTTCTGAACCTGTTCCTTAGACTGAAATTCTAATTGCCAGTTGCCAAAGTAGTTGCCAAAGTCCTACTTGTAGGAAAATAGTCTTTATTCGCCATATTTTTCCTTATATGTAAGTAATTTTAACACTAAAACTGATACTATAGACTTCTGCCATCATCAGAAAGCCCAAAACGATTTCAAAAGAAAAGCAGGTGTTCCTTCTAGTTCTACTGCGTAGTTCTGAACAATACATATTTAAATGATTAGACGCAGACCAGTAGCGATTTGAGCACCAGTGCGTGTGCCTCTAATCTGGTATTTTTGTTGTAATTGTGTCTAGGCTAACAATCTAACCTTGCTGTACTCTTGAAAGCCAAATATTTAGAAGTTGAATTCCTTTATCAATCCATACTATTTACCTCCATAGCTTTAACTTCAGAGTTCCTAATTTCGAGCAGGTCTTTGGTGATGAGATTAATATCCTTGAGAGACTGGACCTGCGTCGTCAGCGCTTCGATCTGCAGCTCCTGGTTCTTCACCATCTTTGTTTTATCGAAGATCATGCCCCGTGCCTTACTAAGTAACTGCAGATATACGAAACTTTTGGTAAAATATTGTTTTTAACGTTTGAAATATTTAGGTGCGGTTTAGGGAACGAATTAGCAAACGAAACATGGAAAATTTTGCTTAAAACATTATTGATTCTCAAAGTAAAAACAACGTTTCGACACCATAGTTTATTTTTTACATAATTTGTATTACTTTGGAGAGATTCTATATTTGACTATTTTGCTTTTTTTAATACTTTTAATTTAACAGTTGAAAGTACAAATAAGTACTTTACCTCTTCATGTTGCTGTTTAATGTTCTCGATCATCTCATGATTCTTGCCAGTAGGCTTAGATAGAGCCGCCTGCAACTCTGTCTCCAGGTTTCTAACTCTTGCTTTGAGAAGATCTATTTCTTCTTCACGGACCTGTGTTAGAAAAATATTTAAAAATACCAACAGCAAAATTTTGTGTTGTTATCTGTGAGGCCGTGGTATCACCCTGGTCAAGCCAGGCCATATGTGGCGAATTTTCAGACGGTGAATTTTTATATTAATGATTGTTTTATTTATCATATTTGATATTACTAATACGACAGATAATATAGAAATAGAGAGATATTATAATCTTTAATAAATTCTATTCAAACCTTTTTTAAGCAAACCATTATTATGTCAATTTTCTTTTTCTTTTTCTTTTCTTACTCTTATGAAAGGACTACTCCCGCACTAGTAATATATCCTGTGTCACGGGGGACTTTCCAAACATACATAAAACGGGCACAAAGAACACCCAGACTCAGAACGAAACTTTATGGATCACAAAGTGTCGTCCCATGTGGGGATCGAACACACAACAATCAGCGTAGTAGGAAACTGTGTGGCGACCGCTTAAACGACTACGCCAATATTCGATTTGTTGAAGACAGAATATGCAAAGGTACTTTTTTAACAACGCAACATACTCTTGATGGTTGCCTACACTTAAATATTAGCTAGTTTTGGTCAAAGATGGCGCTGCCGAAATTTTAAACCAGAAATCAATTCGGAATAATCTTTTCACGTAATAGGAATTTCATTTAATTCAGCAGTGTTTTATTTCAATTGTGGACTGCAATGGGATAATTAATTCTATAAACACTGCTATAAAGAATGAATGTATGACCGGAGAACTATAAAAGATAGTTCCAGGCGCGTAACCGCTTTTTTGAACTCTATTTCTGTCAGCAAGGTAAAAATTCTATTAAACCTAAACGGATTTCTGAAAATTCGACTTGTGTGCGGCGTTCCAGTTACGTAAGCGTCCATCAGCTGCCTACACAAACAATTTTTTTGATATGCTTAGCAGCCGCTTCAGCACAATAATGAATACGAGAAAAATGCTAAATTTTATACAAATTGTTGACATCTGGTCTGCGGGTACGTAAAAATAAATATTTATTAAATGTACGTATTAAAAATAGTAGCGTTGTATTTTGTGAACTGTAGCATACTGTAATATTAAGGCAACATTTGTTTTAAGAATTTAAAACATTAGGAGGTTAATCATTTTGTAATTTTTTTCAAAAGTTTGATTTGATGTTGATCTTATTAAAAAGAACTTAAATGGTAATAAAACTAATTTTGAAACTGCTATTTTAATTTAAGAATTTCTAGAGCAAAATATGCGATGTCACACTTGGGAGGAGGGCTTACAAGTGTGACCAGCTGTGACAAGGACGGGGGTGAGGGTCAACCATGAAATTCGTGTGACGTAATTTATCGATGGCCCCTAACTTGGGTCTCAGCAACTGTTTGAAAGCCAGGTTCAGACAACGGATGGACACCTACGAATGACGTCACAAGTTTTTTGCCTGTTAGTTGGGAAGCTATAGTTAGTTGGGAACGATAACCTCACTGTCTCGTGGTAAAATAACGATGAATGATATCATCATCATCATCATCATCATCATCATCAAGAGCCTTAACTAGTCCTGCTGGACATATGCCTCTTCTTAGAAAGGAGATCGTGGCCTATTATAACACGCTGGCCAGACGGGTTGGCATACGGTTTTTGTGAAGTTTTCCTTCTCTTTGCAGTGCTGTTGTCCTGTGTAGTTTGTCTGCTTCCTAAGTCGGCTCTAACGACACCGATGGGATGAATAGGGGTGGTGACACTCGGTATTCTTAATCCCTTATTATCCTTTAAAATTTCTCACATGTAATGTTAATCGTCAAGGCAACTAGAACACAAAGTTCATACGTTACCTTCAATTCCAATTTAAGACCATCTTCTGACCTTGCATTCTTAAACGTCTCCAACTCTTCTATTTTCTGAAGAAGTGCCTGTTCTCTTTGTTGCCAATCACTCTGTGAAGCAAAAAGTAAAATGAACGGTAAGAATTTTAAATTTCAAAAATTGCTCGTTGTGTGTGACTGTGAATCATTTCACACTAAGACCAATATACCAAAAAAAGTATCAGAAGAATACCAACAGGTGGAAAAGTATTGGCCCCTAAAGGAGATGATGAAATCAACCGAAATAAGTTAAAAGTAAATAAATTAAACGTAAAGTTTTTGATACTTGTTTTGTCCCCTGCCTTTCTTAGGATCACCACCAATATACTTCTGATTTATTATCATTGCAGGTTCCAAGACAATTAAACTTTTCTTGCGACTTTCCGGGTATCATTACAAGGTGCGTTTTTTTTTCACACAACACCATCTAGTCCCAAACTAAGGTCTGCATTTCCACTGAGGGACCACATTTGTATTTTAAGCTTTTGAATGCATCAGCCTTTAGTAAAAGTTCTAAAACAGTGGTAAATTGAGCCTCTAGTTTGTAAAATATCCACTCAAAAGCTACAATTGGTCGAAGGTGGACCCTCAGTAGGAATTGACAGGCATCCATTTCTCATAACCTAGTTTAATATGCTATAAATAACTACTCTTAGGTAAAACTAATTTATTAAATATCAACCTTTCCCGTTCACTGTCTAAAAATAACTTGCATACATTAGGTGAAATTTCAAACAATGGTTTTCTCCACTCGAGGTGAAGTTATGGTGATCGCTTGAGAGACCACCTAGGGAGGTAAAAGCGAGAGGAACAATGTGACATATCAAAAATGGTTCAATTTGAAGATATGAACCTAAAGTTCAACAGTCGTAAGCTTCTTTTGCTTCCTCGTATATAACGAGCTATGGTTATATTTCCATAGTTTTTACCCGACAGAGCGGCAGAAGAAGAATTCTGTTTTCAAACCTATTTATATTTATTTGTCACGCTATATATATAACACTAGCTGACCCGCACAACTTCGTCTGCGTCTCTCAATAGTAATAAATTTTCTCCGTTTTTGAAACATTCTTTATTGGTGCTCCGCTCCTATTGGTCTTAGCGTGATGATATATAGCCTATAGCCTTAATCGATAAATGGGCTATCTAACACTGAAAGAATTTTTCAAATTGGACCAGTAGTTCCTGAGATTAGCGCGTTCAAACAAACTCTTCAGCTTTATAATATTAGTATAGATTGGGAGTTTAAAAAGTTCAAGTACATTTTCACGCAGTCGAGTTATTGTTTTTTTTCACTCCGCCTAACAGGAAAATTGGTTAAAATTACTTACATTTCCTTTGTTTTCTTCGCTAGTCTCCACAGCAACGGCACCATTGCTCGGTGTAGCTTCGACAGGTATTTCTTTCACAGGATCATCAACTGGCTTGTTTTCAGATATCTCATCAACTTTTGCCTCCTGTTTTGGTTCTTCTGGTTTGTTTTCAGTTTGAGCCTCTGGGGTTTCCACCTGAGGGATTGATTTCATTAGTGTTGTGTACTGGCTACACCGGCCACAACCATAAGAGATATAAAACTGTCAAGCGGAAGAAAGGAAGAAAGGAAGGAATAAAATGTCTAATATCTCTCTTGTCATATTCGACTAACTTCTTTAAGAAAGATTTCAGAGAGCGAGAGAGAGAGTGCTTTGGCCGAAATGAGTCGGATCGACTGACTTGGGTTGACTGCACGGATGGCGTAGTGGTTTAAGCGGTCGCCACGCCGATTCCTACTGCGCCGAGTGTTGTGGGTTCAAACCCTACATGGGATGACACTTTGTGTGATCCACAAATTGTTGTTCTGAGTCTAGGTGTCCTTGTGTCCGTTTCATGTATGTTTGTAAAGTCACCCACGACACATGATTTATTCCTAGTGCGGGAGTAGTCTTTAAAAAAAACTACAGCCTGACATAAGACAGGTGTTAAGAACATTTTTTTCCGTTGCTTTTCACCAAGTGAGTAAGGTTACCGGAGAAGAAACTGCTCCAATTAATCCCGTGGGGCACTAAAAGTGTGGTTTTGGCCTACTATACCACGCTGGCCAGACGGGTTGGTATAGCGTCAAGTGTTTTCCTTCTCTTTACAGTGTTGTGTCCTGCGTAGTTTAGTCCCTTAGTCAGCTCTTATTCTTAACTCGTCACTACACGGAAAGTATAGTAGGCCAGATCCTCCTTTCTAAGGAGAGACCTATGTCCAGCAGTGGACTACTAAAGGCTGTTGATGATGACTCAAAGTGTGGGAATGTACTCGTGTCTCTCGAGTCTCCATATGTCCATGAGCGGCGGTAGTAGCTTGCCATCAGGTAATCTGTCTTCTCGTTTGCCCCTCTTCCATGTGCAAAAATCAGAGAATTATCAAGATCCACAATATCCTCACTTGTTTAACATCTTGAGCATCTACGGACGCTTTGGTTTCTGCTGCGGTACCCTCTCCACCTCCCGTCTGGGGTTGAGGCTCAACTGTATCCACCTGCAACCAAAAACTGGCATTAGTATTTTAACGTGTCTCCGACATCACTTGACAATGTGCCAACATCCGGAAGGATCAAACTAAACCTATGTTTCAAGTTCACAATAATTATGAATTAATGCGTTTTTTTGTTAAACACACGTAATAAAACACGTAAATCTATTTATTTATATATTATATATATATATATATATATATATAAGAGTTTGTTTACCCTTTTTTCAATCCTCAATTTTTATTTTATTTATTTTGCCAAATATTTAACAAAACAGAGACTGTTTCTATGACTTTAGGTCTATGACTTTCTAGATCTATGACTTTAGAGTCAACATAAAAGACTATTGCCATCAATTTTTTTTCACTTAAAAATATTTGGAGTTGGAGTTTATAAAAATGTTGTTGTTTAAGTTGGTTTGTGTACACTTCAAAACCTCGAAAAAGTTCTGCACCGATGGAGCTCAAATTTTGACACGATATACAAACCTCTGCCAATGATTTCCAGCGGGGACGGTTGATAGCGGCCTGCATCCAACGGTTTCCGGCATCCTTTACCAGGTCGTCTGTCCATCGGGTAAGCGGTCGTCCCACACTGCGCTTTCCAGTACGTGGTCTCCTATGTCCAGCAGTGGACAAGCATGATACAAACCGCTCCAAAGATTGTTTTTATCTACGTTTTGGCTCAGTTTTATTCCTCATCAATACAACCACAATGTGCCACAACGAAGCGTAAATAATAATTATAAACCTTGACTCATATTACCCATTAAGATGTCAGCGGGTAGCGGGTGGTGTAGCGGGGAAGGGAATCGTGTGTAGCCGTGTGCTAGAATGACGCGCTACCTCGCCCCCGCCACTGTCTGTCACCCCGCGGGACGGTCGCGCACGAGATTGCCGGGCTATAGGCAGATCCCGTAAACCAAATTGCTGATAAACATACTTATCTATACAAATAAATAAAATTGGAGTGTCTGTTTGTAATATTAAAATAACCGGTTTTTACTAAATGCATATGTATGTTTACACGGTACATATGCCAAAATAACATTTTATACAAATTTTGTCTGTCTGTCTGTCTGTTTGTTCCGGGTAATCTCTGGAACGGCTAGACCGATTTCGACAGGACTTTCACTGGCAGATAGCTGATGACATAAGGAGTAATTTAGGCTACTTTTTTAGACTATCTTCGCCCCATGGCGTTGCCCGCGGTTATAACAACAAACGCGGGTAACACCGCGGGTCTCAGCTAGTATATTACTAAATGCATACATGTACACAAATTATACCCAGAATCAGAACGAAAAGACCAGTCATAATAAAAATCAACTCAAGTGATTGCTAGCCTGTTGCAATTGGACGCCTCCGACTCAGACTCACAAGTGGGTTACTAATCTTTGAATTCCTTGCCATAAATAGAAAAGATTGGTTAGAGCTCTCGTTAACCTCATTCAGATCGTGAAACGCAAAGAAATAATTCCTTATCACCGGTTTTCTGTACGGTAATGATATCAATGTGATCCGGACTGTATGTGCCGCATCATAACTCTCCTACAGTTTTAGTGTAAACTGTTAATGAGCCAATAAAGAAAAAAGAGTAAAGTACAGCACCACACCTGCAAATGTCGAGCTATAATATACAGATGACGGAAGATATAAGAAGCTACCTAGGCAAGCCTCCCAAGGCACCTCTGGAAATCTTTAACGTGATAATATTAAGACTCCCCGTGCCTCAACATGAATGCTAATCACGTTATCTTCGGAATTAAATCGGTGAAGCGTGACGTCGGAGCGTAGTACCTTAACGGGTGTAAATTGAGCGACAAATTGACAATTTAAATTAAACGGAAAGAATCAAATTGTTTTTCTGTTACAGATACACCTCACACATCTCACACACGGCCGTCTTAGGTATCTATTGCTATAATAATGTTAGTAGTTATATTGAGGACTTGCTTATCACTTTAGTTATACTATAGTTATACTGTGACTGCACGGATGGAGTAGTGGTTTAAGCGGTCGCCAACCCGCTCACTACTACGCTGAGTTTTGTGGGTCCGATCCCCGCATAGGATAACACTTTGTGTGATCCACAAATTGTTGTTCTGAGTCTGGGTGTTCTTAGTGTCCGTTTCATGTATGTTTGTAAAGTCCCCCGTGACACAGGATATACTCCTAATGCGGGAGTTATCTTTTTATACCAAAAAAAAGTCTTTTCAATTATATTTGTAATTCGTTTTTAATTGTTTAGTGCTTTTTGGTGGTATTGTTTAAAATCGGTTCAATTTTTTTGTGGTAATATGTTTGTAATGAGAAGATACAATATTTAAAACACTAATACTGTAATGTATATTTCCAAACTGCAAGTTAAGGATAATATTAAATTTAGTTTAATAAGTCCATTACTTTATTTAGATTAGGTAGTAAGATGTTAAATTTGAACCAGAAAATAAATTGTTTTCTACATTACTTAGTTTCCACCATTAGAAGCTCCTTTCTAAGGAGAGGCTTATGTCCAGCAGTGGACTATTAAAGGCTGTTGGTGATGATGATGATGAAGTGTTTTCTTCATATTTGTATGAAAACAGAGAGAAAATATACCCGTTTCAAACCGGTTTACAAATGAAAGAGTTTTGAGGTAACAAACATGAAAATATTTGCGTAACAATTCTTTTTGTCTAAATGTATTGCAATCTCTTTTCTTTCTTTCTTTCTTGTGCACATATATCTGTGACCCTACATAAACACCTAACAAATATCTGGAAAGAATAAAACAAGGTGTTGGTCTAGTGGTCAGTGGCCCTGACTGCTAAGCCGGAGGTTGTGGGTTCGATTCCCACCCAGGACAAATATTATGTGATGAGCATGATCATTTGTTTTGTGTCTGGGTGTAATTTATCTATAATATGTGTGTATTTAAAAATATATAAGTATGTTTATCAGCAGTCTGTTTACCATAGCATAGTTTAGTTAATATATCTGACACACGTCTTATATTATTGAAAGAGTTATCCTCTAACTCCTAAAGGTCAAGGATCTTCCCATCATCAGCTCAGCAATATGAGATTAACGACTACCAAACGACAAAGACCTGTATAGCTACAGAGACAAGCTACACGTTATCGGGGCTGTAAAATTTGAGGGTTTTCTTCAATTCCTCTGGGAGCCCGTAACCAGGTCCTGATTTGGTGGTAATGAGACCACTTTTTTGAAAATCGGTCAACAACTGACGAAGATATCTCGTAACATACAAAAAAAAAACAGTCGAATTGAGAACTTTTTAAACGGTTAAAATTTAACAAAAAGAATCAAAACAAAGCTATCTAATGTATTTATTCATCGCCAAAACATTCTGGACCAAAGTATAGTAATGTAAATATTGTGACATTTCAGAAATACACCACACAAACATGTCTATAAAAAGCTTGTTGTTTTGTTAAATATGCATTCGAGGAAGGAAAAACACATTATTATCAAGTGCATATTTTTAGAGTTCGTTCGTGTTGATCTTGTGGCATTTTCAAGCCCCATTGTAAATCACTTTCCTCCAGATCACTTCCTAAAAGTCCGGCAATACATATCGCAGTCCCCGACGAACAAAATCGTGATAGGAAAAGGACAATTTTACAGGAGCAAATAAAAACTGAATATCTTGAATACTATCAAGACTAAAAAGAAGATTCTTTTATCAAAAATAAGGGAATATTTTTTTGCACTAGATTTTTACTAAATTTTTATCATAAATTTTCTTTATCAGTAAGAAAATTGTGAAAATGTCCATTACTGAAATAAGCTATGGAAAAAATTAACGCAAACTAACTTTACGATAGTGTTCGACTGTAATCACAAATCGGTGTTGCTGTAGTAATCGTTCATTATGATATTGTTCCATGGTAAATATGAATATACTTTAGTCCTTTTTCCCCAGGAACAATACAGTAATAGCCGCTTACTCTAAAATGTTGACTTTTGAGATTTGGTAATAGGTTTTTGCGTTATTGATCGTGTAAATTTTTACTTATGTTATACGTAGAACAAAAACATAAAGATCATTATTGAATGGATAAATCCAAAAGTATTCATCGCCCGATCATAAAAAAAACTCAATGATTGTAATAGGGTGTGTAGATAACGAATATTTAATAAACCCGATTCTATCGTAATAGCGATTACCATAGTGTTCGTCGGGGACTGCGATATGTGCCTTCACTTTCCATGAGGTGACCTGACTGCTCGTCTGCCCCACTTCCAAAAAAATAAAAAATAAACTGATGGTAAGTGACAACCGCTGCCCATAGATGCCTACAACTCTAAGAGTCCCAAGTTTGCCAGCCTTTGAGATATGAGTGTGCTCTTTTCTTATAGGCTTGAAGGTCATATCGGTTCGGAAATACAGTAATTTGTTCTGTTAAGTGTTTTCTTACACATTCATAGAGAAAATATTATCTAAGAAAAAAATAATGCGATAGAATTCCGGAAAAGTTTCTTAAATCAAAAATTAGTTATGTTTATTTCAATATTTTAAAATCTTACTACAATACATATTGCACTAATGAGAGAGTTTAAGCTGAAAAGACGACCAAGAAGTTCATTTCGAAAGATAAACTTAAATGTACACCTTCAGCATTTCTGCAGCTGTGTTTCGTAATTGATCTAGCATTCAAACAACAGGTAAAAATTCAACTCACTTGCTCCGTGTAAAATGAATGCCTGTGACAACAATCCTAATAATCCGAAAAGTAAATTAAAAGGAGTTCTAAACTCAAACTTCCAGCTGCTTTAAATAAAATCATACGTTAAATTGGGACGTTAAAAGTCAACAAGAATATACAACAATGAATGCTTAGTCACGTTAAATAAGTATTGTTTTAGTTAATTTTGTACACACCCTTCACAGAATTTAGGGCAGCTATTTAATTTGCAAAACGGAACTGTGAAAAGTTACACATTTGGCGCCAGTTTTGTCATCTGTGCAGCATCTGGCGGGACTTTAATAAGCAACCCATTACAGTTTTACAAATTCCTAATGTATCCTTTTACCGCAGAGTTTTCTTGTTCTTCTGTAATGGAAATGCAGCTGGATGGACTTAACGGACTTTTAAAACTTAAATGAATCATTTGTCTTTGCAAAAAAACAAAAGTGAGTAGGTTTTTTTGGGGGTTACTTGTTCGTTTATTATCTGTTATTTCAGCGGCACATACCTATTTCACTGCTTTAATATTTTTAAGTCTTTGCGTAACATGATGTGTAAGATTTACAATTGAAAATTCGTAAGTATAAATATTTCCAGTACATATTTAAAGGCTTTTTCTTTTAGTAATTTGGAGATGCATGTGCACGTGTTTATAAAGAAATCAAACTGAATAAGACGATCTCCGATTGATTAATTTGCTAGTCGAGTGATTATAGCCGGTGTCCAACGAACCTCCAATGAATATTGCCCACCATTGCTACTAAGTTGTTGTACTATGTTTTAACCTAGGACCTTTAACAAAGGCGAATAATTGTTTTATTGGACTAAAGTCAGAATATCACCACATTAATTAAGAGTGGTGTAATAATCGTAAATGCATGATTTGCTAATTTGCTTATTTTTATTATCTGCTATTGCTAAGCTTCATAGATCTTGTGTCACATAATATATTTTATACTTACTGAAGATTCCAAAAAATAAAGTCATCAGGCAATGAGACAGCAAAATTCTATTCTCGTTTTTCGCACAACAAAATAGCAAATAAATTGCAATTACCTTTGCAACATCGTGACCACGCACATAAGATTCGTAACTACAGACTCTTGTCCAAATAGATCTCATTCTGATTCCTTAGCAACGCTTAAAACTAAAAATATTTGAAGATAATGCTGATTTCCACGAGAAAGAATTTTGTACAATAAACAAAAAAAATGTGACCATAATCACGACCTGACAGAAATTTTAATAATGATTACAAAATGAGTAAAGAGTTTCTACTCACCATGATTTATATTGTATTTTAATTTCACTACAAATATCAATAGTTTCTTAATAAGATCACGTTCAAAAGACACGCTTACGGAACACACACTATGTTCAAAACTTGAACGTCTATTTTGGGAGTGCAGACGCGTTGTATAAAAATAGAAAATTCAGAGCGTTGTGAAATTCATTAAACTTTCCCGCGAGTTTCAATTGCAGATAATACTCATGAATAATAAAATTGGTAGATGTTTGCGGAACAAAATAAAAAGCGAGATGCGCTATCCCATCCGATTACCGCGAAAGCCGTGAAAATTTATGTGATCTTTGCTCGTATGTAATTTTTCCATCATAATGAAAAAAGAAAATTGCCAGGGGCCATATTGTACCAAATAACGATCCACGCAATACTCTCACATTGTTATTTCGCATTTATATTAAAGTAAAGAAATAAGGAGATATTGATATTTAATAATCGTTTTGACTTTACAGATCAATAAACTGTTGATTATTTGGATATATTTGGAGGTAAATTTCTTTGTAAGTATACCTGTTAACTCTGCATTGTCTAGAATGGCTTTTTTGTCATTATCTCAAGATTGGACGATACGGATGATCGATGAGTATTATCATACTGCAAGAAATAAGAATTTTGAATATTATCCTTTTTATGTCTTTAGTAAATGGACGAGTATACATTACGTACAATAGTATTTAAATACACAAAATGTATGTGACTCTGATGTAGAAAAATACACTTGAACCTCCCGCGTAAAATCTGTAAGATTAAGGTCAAGCTACAAAATAAATATTGATTTGTTGCTCACAACTCCTCCAGTTTCTCTCGTCTAATGCTATGATCACAAAATATGCCATTTATAACATACTTAATTAACTTAGGTGGAAGATTTCAAATAATTGCTAACCAATTTTATGAAGAAGATATCGAATTACAAAATGTCTTGACTCCAGAACAGTCCTTTAGTCCTTTTTTAAAGTATAGGGAGTAAACAAGCGGAAGGGTCACTAGATGGTAAGAGACTATCGCCGCCCGCCATTTCGGGTTCCAGCTTCGTCACTCAGTTAGTGAAAAGCAACGAAAGAACTGCTTAATACCGGTTTTGCTGTGAGGCCGTCCGAGGTCCGTGTGGTGACGGATTAAGAATACAGAGTGTCACCACCCCTATTCATCCCGTGGGTGTCGTAAGAGCCGACTAAGGGAAAAAACTATGCAGAACAACAGCACTGCAGAGAGAAGGAAAACTTGACACAAACCCTATACCAACCCGTCTGGCTAACCTCCTTTCTAAGGCGAGGCTTATGTCCAGCAGTGGACTATTAAAGGCTGTTGATGTGAGGCCGTAGTATCACTCTGGTCGAGCAAGCCCATTTGCCGAAGCATGGCTTTCTCACGGCAAAATCTCTTTTGACATCTTGAGACCTTTATATTTCGTTTCAAGATCTAAGTACTAAAGTAATTTCAGTAAATATTTCATTTTCTCTAAAAGAGCAGAAAGAAATCGATGTTATCCGATATAATGGTCCACACTTATATTTTAATCTTTGAGTAAGACTCCATTACCTACGTGCTATTATCTGCTACTTACAAAGAAATATTTATTTAGAGACTACCTTAAAAATATTCTTTATCTACGATAAATACAAAATATATAGGACTCCTACCACCAAAGAATGTTACAGCTACTTTCTTTAATTTTATATTTTTCTTTAAGTGTATGATAAATGAAAAGATATAACAAAACTCAAGTATACACCTTAACTTGGAGATAATAAAATTAAATCACCTTTCTGTTTTAAGGTAATTTTTTAATAATAAGGTAATGGTAATAAGGTAAGGTAGGTAATTTAATTTCTCTTTTTTCATAAATTAATCACATTCTTTTTAATCTCGTTAATGCTGAATGCATATGATAGGTGTGGAATCACGTCACTATACCTACAATAGCGTTGCAGTAATAAACGAGTTTTTAAAAAGCTTTTTGTTTTCCTGGAACTGCCATACCTATTTAATATTTCAATGCCAAAACTTGAACGCAGCCACATTTTCCAAACAAACAGAAGTCAAAAGTGACTGCAAAAAATTGTGACAGTTGACAGTTTATTGTGACTCAAATTCAAAGTTAATAAACACAACTGAAAATACTCAAATACTATTAATTTGAACTGTGTAATTCGTTTCTTTTAGTGTTGCTCTTGTAAGTAATAAGTGACTGTTCTTTGTTTCGAATTTTAAATCCTTTGGCACTTTTAAATATTATGTCCCTGTGCCCTGTCCTGTCCTAGTCCCAGTCCCTTTAATCACAGCCACTCGTTTTGCCCTCAGACATAAGTCTCGAATCGGAAAACCCTAGTTCACTTGCCCTGTCGCGTCGCGTAGCGTAGCGTCAACCAAACGGCCGGCTAAAAAACAAAACTTTATGCCATGTTATACTTTTTTTTATACGTGTGAAAATCTCCTCGGAACGTTACCAAACCGAAGTTTTTGGTGGAGCGGTGTGTCGGAATCGAACCTACTAAATCCTCACACTACTGCACCTTAAATAAGGAGCGATGTGGTCATCTGGTAACACCTTATTAAAATTACAAACTATGCCAACCCAAAACACCTGCCTGTTTTAACATTTTTTCTCTGTTTCAGACTAAACCATGACCTCAGAAAAGAATGCGCAGGTTGGACAAGCTCGAGAGGCCTTTCAAATGATGTATCAGATTTCACAACTCCTTTGTACAGGCTTAGATGCCGAAGCTCTTTCAATTTGCATCAGACTTTGTGAGCTTGGTGTAGACCCGGAGGTGTTAGCACATGTTATTAAGGAAATAAGGAAAATGGGAGAAAATACAGTTCAAAACAAACCTGTTAATTTGAACCCATAATTTTTAAATTAAGAATATAATTAACAATGCCCCAATTGGTTGCCCCAGAACTAAGTGTGTATTTTTGTAAAACCTTATTGATATTCTTAGCCATTACATACTGAAGATATACATCATAATTAACAGCCTTTAACAGTCCACTGCTGGACATAGGCCTCTCCTTAAAAAGCAGGTTTGAAAACATACATAGATCTGCAATTTTTTAAAATTGTGTGTTCCACAATATAATGATTGTTATAAACACACAGGAATAAATATAATGTAACTTGGTTAAAACACCAGGTAATTCTATGCTGTGTAATACCTAATAAATGACTTAATTTCTGTTTGTCAGTAAAAATTATATACATTAGATCTGATCGAGTCCATCTTGAGAAAAATATAATTGATTTATATTTTTTTAATGTTCTTTTTTGTGATGTATCTTATAAAACAGGTTAATATTTTAGTTATAGTTTAAAAAAAACAAATTTGCAGGCAGAATAAAAAACAGTTACTAACTGCAAGTACATTACACCCTAGATAATAGCTCGTTTTTTAATAAATAATTTATCAACTAACCTATCTTTACAATTTATTCAATCGTTCAAATAATATTTACTTTCAATGTATAAATGATCCTATAATCTTGCCTCAAACTGATTACAAATTGTAACGGTGCATTTCGCACCATTACAGTAATTTGAACCTTAGTCTCGTTTTTGTTTTGTTAGATTGAATTTTTTGTCGTTTCTGCGTGTGCCGAAGGTCGAGGGACGGACGAGAGTAATAATCGATGTTGTTCGCCCGCGATTGGTTAGTCGATTTAGTTTTTCTTGTTCTGGCAACATTTTTGTTTCCCCGCTCTATTGAGCGAGAGGCTATTGCACTGGTATCACTTTGACTTTCACTTTTGGATCGGCCGCCGGGAGAGATGAGGCAAACCAAGTTTGGTCATCTAATTTTTTAGAAATCCGTATTTATTTGATATGGACGAGGGCCTATTTCCTCTTTAAATGTTTGGCCAACCTAGTTAAGACTCGAGCTAGTGGATCGAGTGATTATTTTTGATAAAAAAGGCAATGCTTATAATGCTTATAATGCCGCTGTATCACTTTGACTTTCACTTTTGGATCGGCCGCCGGGAGAGATGAGGCAAACCAAGTTTGGTCATCTAATTTTTTAGAAATCCGTATTTATTTGATATGGACGAGGGCCTATTTCCTCTTTAAATGTTTGGCCAACCTAGTTAGACTCGAGCTAGTGGATCGAGTGATTTTTTGATAAAAAAGGCAATGCTTATAATGCTTATAATGCCGCTGCTTGATTTGTGAAGCATTTTAGAACCCTGATGAATCAGGGTTCTTTTCTTTTTTAGTTTATATCTAAGATTTTACAATACCTAAATTATTTTACTTTCTTATTGGAATGTCCTTGCGTGGCATTCGATTTTTGTCTCTCGCCGGAGTTTTAACCCCAAGAAATTAGTTTGCTGTGGAGCTCAGAATGGTAGAAAAAGCTGCTTAGCTGCACGCCATCGTCTGGAGCAGGGGAGTACTAACCCGCCTCTTACACCACGTGGGAACCGGAGTGAGAAGTTTCGGAGTTTGGTTTGATTTCATTTCGTTCGACTGATCCAAGGTCATCGGTATGTAGTTTTTGTTATATCTTTTTCTTGGCGACGTGGCATTGAATACTGCCGGTCCCTAAGGGGTGTTATTTTTATTAGAGAGTAGGTCAATGCTATGTCTACCCTTAGAGTTTATTGTTTTGTCTATTAAGTCTTCATGCGACTTATTTAAAAGCCTATAAGGCCAGTGGTATGTGTTTTTGATATATTTTTCTTGGCGACGTGGCATTGAATACTGCAGGTCCCTAAGGGGTGTTATTTTTATTAGAGAGTAGGTCAATGCTATGTCTACCCTTAGAGTTTATTGTTTTGTCTATTAAGTCTTTATGCGACTTTTGTTTAAAAAACTATACAGGTCCCCAAGGGGTTAATTTTAATTAAGGGAGTAGGGCGTTGCTACAACTACCCTTATACTCTTTTCTTTTGGGTCTTCATGTGACTCTTTAAAATTTATTTAACCTTATATTTTTCTTATTGGAAAGGATTGCATTAATGACAGTACTAATTTGTGTATAAGAATTACCTATTGTAATTAGAGACATAAGACACATTGTACTCTACAGACACTACGGGATAATAAACAGCCATTAGAACTTAACATCTTGTATTCTTTAGCTGTCCTCCCGCCTTGTTTTAAAAAGGTTCGGTGTCGGCTGAGATGTCCGAGGTATTTGTTGTGTTTGTGGTGGGTTCTGTGTTCTCTTAAGGTGGTATCTGGCGCCCGAGACTTTTATTTTGTTATTTGGTTTCTATTTGATGCCACCAATTTATTTTATATTTCTTTTATAACACACCCCACAACATAAATGAAATTTTTTATTTTTTATTATTACAAAAGACTACATAAGTTCACAAGGTCATTTAATTATACTTAAAATGGTTTTTGTATAAACATATTTTATATGTATACTCACTATATGACAATTTATATGGTAAGTATACATATAATATAGTTATAGTATACATATACAATATAACTTACAAATAAGACAACATACCAACTTAAAATTGGTACCTTACAGGCTGCTACTGCTAGGTGTCAAGTAGTAATGTTTTTTATTTTTCATTGCTTTTCACCGCGGTGTGGTATGAGAGCAAAACTCTCCCTTATTACTCTCTCTCTTATTACTCTTGTGTTGTTGAGTTGCAATGTCCATGAGCAGCAGTAGTTGCTTACCATCAGGTGACCTGCCTGCTTGTTTGCCCCTATAACCTTCCATACAAAAACTTATTTTAAATATTAATTATAATGCTAATATGCATGAGGAAAACGAAATAAAAATAGAAAATTCTATAAAAGCTTTTATTTTCAAATAAACACTATGTCCCAAAAGTATTTCAAAGAGTATCACCTGTGTAATGAGATGTTTGTTTACATAACAAACAACAGAATCGGTATGGGCTGCACCAATTTGAAGATGGCAAAAATAATCTTCACAATCAGTAAATAAACCGACTCCGTTCTGTTGCCCTCAACTATATCGGAACAAATAATCAAGAAGGGGCAACAATACAGGCGATAATAAATGAAATACTTAAAAATAATTAAATAAGTGTCGCATTGTGCTTTTATTGAACAAAAATATGTCAACAATATAACAATCAGGTAGGAATTAATATAGTTTTTGAGTGAGACTATAAACTATCAGTACGGGACTGAAAATATCACAGATGCAAATAATTCACTCAAAGAAAACCGTGGGTGATGAATATATATGGGTAATGAATTACAACCAGACCATTGTCCTGTTTATTTAGAACTAAAATGCATGGCCTACTTTGAACTATTTCTATAAGAATATTAATTGGAATACTGTATGACCTGAATGAAATAAACATTAAAGAAAAGTAACATAAGTAAAAAAAAGTCTTTATATAACTTTTTAGATTGGAAAGAATGGCACAGTACATCCAAAGTAGACCATGCAAAATAAATCTATATACACTTATCGCCTAAATTATTGGAACGTTTGACTCTGTGGCTGTGCTTGGGTGCCTAATACTGACGGATCTTCAAATATTGGTTGCTGAGGTTTGAATTGCTCAGCTGTTATCCTAGAGAACATTATTCCTATGCCTTCAATTAGTGCTAGTAGGATTCCCCCTACAAGAGCACTACCCGCCATTGCTGGGACACCTGGAAATTTAGTAATGTGCTATATTTTAAGAAATAGTTATGCAGTAGATAATTATCCTGAACTAGGCAAAACAAGTACTTTGGTAACCAGACTGCTGATAAACGTAATTACATACATATTATTAATATATGTCTGCTGATACTGATGCTACATACGTACTAATGACTATTACTTAAAGTATAGGTGTATACACTAGAACTGCACTAATTACTATCGGTTTTATGACTGGGCTAGTTAAGTCAAATAAACAAAGGAACATACCTAGAAAGTGTCTGTATTTAGTCTGGGTGTAATTTATCTATAACATATATGAGGTTCCAAATATATGAGAATGTGTATCAGCAGTCTGGTAGTCTGATATTACCATCTGTGGCTATGTTGGCATCAGACGGTTATTTGTAAAATTTATAAAGTTATCAGTATTATTTACTAAACAAAATATTTTGTGTGAATGCTTATTCAAGTTCTAACACCTATAAGTTATAAGATATAAATATATCTTATAAGTTATTGGACACAATGTATTTCATCAAGTCTTAACGGCTAGGCCCAGGCCTAGGCCTCTCCTTGGAAAGGAGGTAATTATAACCATGACGAAATATTTAAATATATTTTTTCTAGATAGCATGTATAGTACAATTTTAATAGAACATCAATTGCTGTTTAAAGAAAACAGATGAATAATTAAAAAGGAAATTAAAAAGCAAATTTAAATTGCAGTAGCTTCACTAAGAATTTAATATAAATGAATATGTACCATTTCTAGCTGCTAAAATTCCACCAGTCAGTGCACCACTCATTATGGAGTTCCATGGGTCTTCTTTTTGTCGCATGTATACAAGTGAGCAATCAATAGTGGAGAACATCCCACCCCATACTGCAAAGTTCCCTCCAACAATAGGTGAACGCTCTTTCATCGCTGCTAAACTTCCAAGCTGCAGAAACACATTATAATTTCAAACATAGAGGTCTAAGTAATAGTATAGCTATGAAACCCTATAAGTACTTACCATTTTTCGACTAAAACCCACTGGCGCATTCCTGAACCCTTTAATTGAATGAAATATGCCACCACCAATGGCTCCCATGATGAACGCACCACCGGAGTCATCAAGAATTCGCCACGGACACGGTTCACGAGTATATTCATCCATACTTTACTATTTTTTGATTTTGTCCTGGAATCAAGTATTAGGTAAGATTTATAACCTTTATTATACACTCGTAATTAACATGACATAAATCGCTTTTAACCTACTAGTTATGTTAAAGACTTTATTGTATAATAAAATAACCAATATCGTAAATGGTTTTTGACGGCTTTTAATTTATGAAAACTGTTGCACCATGATTCCCACGTTCTACGAGTTGCGATTTTATTTCAAAAGGTCATTGTGAATTACCTACGGCAATGATTGTAAAACCACAGATAATATAACAAAAATCGACTAAACATTACTTGTTGTTGAAAGAAAAATTAGAAACTGAACAGCGCTAATTCTGTCTGACTAAACCTGTCAACATGGCAACTGACAACTGAATAATGTTGGGTTGTTTAGTTCATCACGGACTGTTTTTATTGAGAAATATATAGTGCAAATTCCAATAAAATGACTATTCACAATTTGTATATCTTCGACCGATATGGGTCGCTTCTGTATTACGGTGAATGGAATAGATCTAAACAATCTGGCATGTCCAGAGAGGAGGTCAGTACATGTTACGATAACTCCTTTTTCTTTAGTCCCATTTATCTTAAGTAATAGTTATAGTTATGAAGGGTGGATATACCTGTAAGCGACTACTAGACCATACACCACTAAGACCACTACCATACAAGCCCTTATTCTTCTTTGCCGTAAAATAATTGTCTTTAATGTCAACTCCGCCCCACCTTTGGCACCAAGTGTGCCTTTGGAATTTTAAATTAGAAGTGACATGTTCAAAATATTATATTGTCATTTATTTATGCAGAAAAGTATGTGATTATGCAAACACAACAGAGCACTTGAAAGTAAACTTACTGATCAGAGTAATACTAGTATATATATACTAGTTTCTAGTTGGTTACCTTGGTTAACATCAATCTACTCTATATTTTCTTTTTTCTTTGCTACTAATTGATGTTTATAAAAATCAAAGCTAAAAGCAAATTACTGCTTCCTCAAAGGCCGGCAACGCGCTTGTGACTCTTGAGTTGCAAGCGTTCATGGGCGGACCCCCCCCAAGGTAGTCACTTTCCATCAGGTGACCTGTCTGCTCATTTGCCCCCTATTCCATAAAAAAAGTTGCTGTCTTACAGCATACCAGAACAATATGACATTGATGAAGTAAACAGGAACATTAGGAAACCAAACCTTTGCTTCGGTTTCAAAATTGTGAATCAACCAAATGTTTTATAGCCAAGTTTGTTGTAAGTTAAACATGCTTGATTATTGATCCACAGTTACCTAATTATAAATAATGTCTCTGTTACAGGAAGGGAAATTAATGTATGGGATGTTGTTTTCCATCAAATCTTTTGTAGCAAAGATATCACCGTTAGATCCAAAAGATGGTTTTATGCATTACAAGACTACAAAATACACCTTGCACTGTCTAGAAACACCTTCCGGATTAAAATTTGTCATGAACACTGACAATCAAGCGCAAGGTGTTAGAGAATTGTTGAAGAGAATTTACGGAGAAATCTATGTGAAGTATGCTATAAGAAATCCAATGTGTGGTATTGGAGAGCCAATAATTAGTGAAATTTTTAAGAATAAATTAGATGCTTTTATTAAACAGACACCTATCCATGTTAGAGCTTCTTGATAAATCAGGAATTAATAAATAATTGTGTAAATATTTTTTTCCAAACTTGACATGACTTATATTGGATGTGTAAGCGAGGTAATAACTAAATATTTATTGATGTGTTGAAATCCATATTCATTAGCTACTTGGCGAATATTGTAAGTACTACGCTGATCTAATATATAGTACCGATTTATCAAAGAACTAGTAGCAAACAAACATTAAGACCTAAATAGTTTATAGGTCTTTGAATTCACCTTGTAATATAACCGTAAATCTAATCCGATTTAGTCAAATAGGAACATAAATAACTTCAAATTGTCATGTAAATGTATAGCTTTATATGTTACTAGCTTTCACCCGTGACTTTGTCCGCGTGGTAGTCACATCAAACCTTGTAGAGGATACCCCTTCTTAAGGGTAGATTTAAGAAATTAGTAACAAAGCTTTTCATTACTTTTAATAAAGGGTATATACTGTAAGTTTGAAAACACTACCACCAAAAACAACGAAGTTTTATATAAATTGCCAAACCCAGTGTTACACTCTTAGGGATGGAATATAAAAAAAACCTTTCTTAGCGCACACTGTGCACACACCTACGTCAAACATTTGTACAAAATTTTAAGCTTCTAGACCCAGAGGTTTCAGCTGTACATTGATTGATCAGTCTATCAGTTTGTTCTTTTATTAGAAAAGTTATAGAATAGTTGTTATTGGTGATACAGAGTAATATTATTCTACACATTTGGCAAGATTGTATGTCTGAAAACCTGTTTTTCAAATGTGTTGTATAGTATTAAGGTTATTGTAAATTTATATTATTATTGTTACTATGTAAAACTTCGATATATTAGGTAGCTTGTTAAGCTTTTGCTGCATAAAAACTAAAAAATATATGAAACATGTACATAATAAAAAAATGTGTAATCAGTTATGTTACTGAAAGTTAATAATTAGACAATACCATCGCCATCATTGCTTTCACCAGCTATTTTTTTTAAATAAATAATCTGTTGTGTTCAAACATTCTGTTGATTATGCTCATTTCTTAATTTAAACTTAATCTTGGTTAAATTTTTACTGGGATTAGGTTTGATTTTAATGTAATATCAAAGATTGTTATATTTTAGTTTTCTAGTTTTGAATATAAATAAATGTATGTAACTTAAAATATTGAGTTATTTCATATCCAATAGGTAGTGGCTACCATCTCCTATGACCTTTTGAGAAATAGGGGCAAGAGACGAGCACGCCACTCTTAGACAAATGATGGGATGTCTGTCGTCCTTTTACCAAGCTATAGCAAACCTGTTAAATTGACAAGCTTTTTTCTCTTAGCAGCTACAATGACTTTCCATAGACTATTTTTTCATATATAAACTGTAGTAATTTGTGGAAACATGGCAACTAGAGGCACGAGAACACAAAGACGATAATATATATTAGTTCGATTAATCTCGATAACGATCAGTATCTCTGGTCATCAAACTGCTGCAGCCCGGTGTACCTGAGTTCATATACATTCGCGCAGTCAGTTTCAGGCTTTCAGCTCAGTCAAACCCATTTTTCCGATGCTGAATGTCAGAATCTGCAGCTTGGCATGGTGTTGAGACAACTCTTGGTTTAAAGTCAACCAACTATACAAGTAAATAAAATTGAAGTGTATGTTTGTTATGTCAAAATAATAGGTTTTTTCATGCTCACACGGTTATCTGCACGTTGCCTATCCCTAAACTCCAGTTTAAATATATTTTGTCGGTTTGTTCCGGGTAATCTTAAAAATGGTCTGACAAATTTTAATTATATTTTACTACCAGGTAGCTGTCTACATAAGGAGTAGCTTAGTCTTTTTTCCTTAGGCACACCGTTATCGCGGCGGATTGTTTAGGATTGGCTCGAGAGGCATCACGGAACCCTCTCATACCGTTTGACGCAGGTGATCACCGGGAAAGGATGCTTCGGAGATCACCTGTCTAATCCACAAGGAGCCAACGCCTGAGTGCCACCACTGCGAACCAGTTTTCCTCATGGACCAACTATGTACGCACAACTAGTTGTGCCATCCCAGAATATGTTCTTAATGACACAACTATGCACAACTAAGCACAACTGATTTACTATAACCATTCCTTTTAGCACAACTACAGGAGGAAATAAATAATATTATTACTAACCTCTTCAGATATTGATGATTATGTTGGCCACCTCTGTCATATCTTTATATGTTAACAAATAGAAAATTATAAATGCCATTTCATGTCATTAACTATCAGTAATTATTTAAAAATTATTGATATATTATTTTCGTGCATATGCTGGCGAATATCCTGACTGTAAGCATGTCTATGTCTACGCCAGAAGATGAAGAACTTATATTCATCGATAATAAAGGTGGAAAGATTGCTTTATACAGCGACTATCAGTACCATATATTTTTGCGCTCATGTCTAACAAAAAGGAGAGTAGTTACGTCGCTTTACTTAGCATTATTAAAATTCGAGTCGGGTGGAATATAACGAAAATTCATTGCGATTACGAAATTGCATTTATCAACGCGGTTACAAGGATGTTCCCAGAGATAAAGATTGTAGGTTGCTACTACCACTGGATGCGCAATGTATGGAAAAAGGCCAGACAGCTTGGGCATCATACAAAAGTAGAAAATAGAATAATAGGAATGTGTGCTGCTTTGCCTCTATTGCCAGCGGATGCTGTAGTTGCAGGCTGGGCCTTTATTAAATCCGAATATGAAAATACCAACTTGAAAATGGTCAATTTCATCAATTATATAGACAGGTTTATGAAAAAGAGTAACTTTGTTCCCATAATGTCCGTGTTCGGAGAGCGTCACCGCACTAATAACGTTGTAGAGTCATGGCACTCTACCCTTAATAAACATCTAAACAAGAATACTGTGACTGTGTTAAGACTACTAAATGTTCTCATAATGCTAGAGAAATACAATGTTGTTGTAAAAGATCTATGTTCAAGACTCCGGAAAGATGAATATATTATTAAAGACGAATTTATTCACAACGTGCAACTTCAATACATTAATGGACTAATCACATTAGGGCATGCACTAGATAAGCTTAGATGAATGGAAATACCACTGTTTCCAATTGCGCTACCCAGCCATCTCACCTGGGAGTAGACCTCTTTTTGTTTTCTTTTTTTTTAAATATCATTAACATATGTATTTAGTATAATATATACCATATTAAATGCTTACGATAACCATAACGATGAATTTTTGTATACCGATTATAATTAGTTGTGTCTCTAGGAACTAATATTAATTGAAAATTATTTAGTTGTGCCAATAGGAATGATTTTAAAACAAAAATCCTTATGACACAACTAGTTGTGCATACATAGTGGGTCCATGAGGAAACAGCGACTGCGAAGGCCGGACCGTTTACACGGCGCTCCACACGCTGACAGAATGTCCGGCGTGGGTTGAGCACAGGCGCGGCCTCGTGGCGGCCATCGGTGTTGAACGGTGGATGTGGCTAATGGATGGGATCACTTTCAAACCAAATAAGGCACAGACTTCTAAACGTATTTATTTTGAACTTCACATTTTTTTGAATGGATATAATTTATAAAAAATACACATGTTACTAAGCTATTTTTACAGAATACCAAGAATATGACAATTCAGTCTGAACAAATAAAACAGACATTCCAAATTTCCATTTATCGCATGTCACTGCAGATGTGACGGAGAGAGTATTGGCCGAGATAAAGAGAGTGAGTACTTCCATTCCTGACTGATCTGTTCGCCAATTGTCTTGGTATGCGGTTATCTTATGGTGATTTTATATCACGCGATCCTTTGTATGATACAGCGTTGGATATCGCTCTTTTTTGCATAAATTGGAACACACCATCTGCCATCATTGGGTATTTAGATAAAGTTCAATCACAGAAACGGCTTCTGATATGTAGTTTCTTCACAGGTAGAGTGCTTAGAGAGGGAGAGTATCAATTCCCTGAGGAGCGAATCATTGAGAAGGAAGATTTCTTTCTTTGATTCCAGAATTTTTGAATTCCCGAAACTTGACTGTCTTTATTTCGTAATGCCTCGCACAGAATGGAGAATTTATAGTAACGAATTATTAACGTCTGAGACATTATATAAAATCGAAAGAGAAGGAATTATTAAGGGCGAGTTACATCAAGGAGTATTGGCATTCTCTCTCGCAGCAATAACAGACAATTATAATTAAAAGTAAAAAGCGAATAGTCCAAAAAATATGGAGAAGCAACAACAAACAAAAGATAGAATACTTTGGGCCTGTGGGTTAATAAATAATGCAAAAAGGGAATCGATACAAATAATAAAAGACAGTACTATTGCAAATGTTAGGTCTATTGAGAGAAACTCAAGATCAATAAAGGACCCTAACCCACTTATGAGTACTATGACAAATATAAACATCAAATATCCAATAACATTTAAGACAAAAAAGATTAACACAGATCTAATACCCCCAGAATTATATTCAGGCATTACCGACAATAGAAGAGGTGGGAGGACATTGTGCAAAACTGAGATGGTCCAATGGTACATTGATAACATTGACGCAAATGAGGATAAAGAAGTCTCAATTACCAAATTGTTTGATGCAAGTTTGTCAAAGTTTAATAAAATTTTCTCATACCCGTGGGAAAATGTTGATTTCAAAATTGGGAATGTCACTTTATCCAGATCTTTAATACCCGTCAACCCAAACAACAGATATGCCCAAGGAATTCATTAAACCTTCAATACTCCAAACATTAAACTTGGATAACATGATTGAGTATGTCGATGTGCCCGACTACTATCTGAGCCAAGTCAAAAATATATTATTAAACAGTAACCTAGATATAAGGAGTTTACCTAACATTTTAAACTACATAGTCAGATGGATAAAAGGTTTAGGTATCTCCCCATAATGAAAGGTCTGAGCCCTGATTTCATTTATATCTCTCATGCACTATTACAACCCCAGTACAGAGCTTCCTCAATAATGGCCGAGTCATCCATTGAAAAAGGCCAAAATAAAAGCATCACATAGCTTTGCATTAACATAATATATTTCTGCAGAATAAATAATATCCCATACTTCCAACTAAAGGATTTCATGACTTCATTTACATTCCATAATTACCCTGTATCCAAAATTTTGCACTCAACAGACGAAAACAAATATACAAGATTTGTGAAAGGTTGTTTGGGGATGGAGATAACACCTCTCATTGAAAAGCAATCGATCAAATTTTTCCCCAAGCACAGCAAGGTTTTTGAGACTACACATACTAATAAATGTAGAGTTTAGAAGGTATAATGGGGAAGAAATGGTCTTCTTCGAAAGTGCAACGTCCAAAGGGTTCTTTGTTCACAATCCAGATGCATTACTAACAATAACCATAAATAGAACAAACTTGAATAATCTTGGATTTGTCTTCGGTCAAATTGCAATATTCATGACTAAGGGTTTCGAGTATACTAGTGCTCCAACTTTAAAATCTATCAGGATGAAAATTTCGAAATTGTATAGCCAATCATGGTGGCTGTTATTAGGAATGAGAGAGGATATAGTTAGGACAGTAAAGAGGGAGATAGAGATGGGTGAAGGAGATGTTACCATGGGGGCACTGAGATTTTCGGACACTATAGAATTGGAAATGCCTGAATGTGAAAAATGCATAATTAAAGACGAGACCCTCATAGGAGAGAATTCTGGGCAACAAATTTGTGTGGCACCTTTTGTAAGAGAGATGGTAGTGCTTGATTTCAATATAAAAACAACAAACCCTCCTTTATATCCAATTACTAACCGACAATTAATAAAGGCTATACAATACAATTTAAGTAATTTAGGTTCAATAAAGAAAAATGTATCACTGAACCAGTCGAGTTCAGTTTATTATGAAAAATTGAAGAAGTTTGTACCTTTCTCACAACAAGAGCGGGCATCAGAATTTTTAAAGGGTTTGCTGCACAACAAAGTCGTTAGCCCTGGGCAAAATGATTTGTTTATTGCTGTATTTTATAACTTTGTATATGGAGGTAAACAAAAAACAAGTGTTATGAGTATGGATAAAATATTTTACTCAAGAGAGGAGTTGCATTTTGATCTGTCCAACGGAATTGTTAAGCTCTCAAATGACGGATGCTTATACTGCGACAATGAATTGATAGTATCCGTTTCCAATAGTATGAAAGACTGCGATGAATCTGTGTGTGCTGTTTTACCAGCTTTACGATGAAACGAATTTACAGATTAGAAAAAGGGGTTCCAACTCAATCTATCTCCTGGTTGAACACTTATTCAGAGAAACTTCCCGAGAGATATAAAGCATATACAATTTTCCAAACAGCCATGTTTGAAGTTAGAAAAACATCAAGCATGAAAATACATACATTAAACACACTTAAAAGACACATAACTATAGGGATAGAAGAAGACACAAGTAATGAATTCTCAAGATACCTGTTAAAGAGAAAGATAGAATCTGATAACAGTGAAAGTGATAAAAGTGTAGAAGCAAAGAGACAAAAAATTGATTATGCGTCCTCGATTATATCTTAACCCATTACCCCATCATTTCTTTGTTGTTTTCTCAATAAATTTTATTTGTTTTTCCCAATTTTTATTTTAAAAGTTAAAAAAAAAAAAAATACGTTAAGGCATGAAGCATGCCGGAGCAGGGGCTTTACGTTTCCAAAGTTCCCACACGCATTCTCATACTCTGATAAAATTATTTCTCCCTCGGGCAATACTGTGGCGCAATCTCCCTTCTGGAGAGCATGTATAGTCGATTTACGACTAGATGAGTTTCTCCGCAAGCAAATATTTATAATATCTCTTGAACTATGATATAAATGCTTTTCGGCCCTCCCTAAATCAGCTCTTTTACTTGAGCCATCAAGACGGGGAGCTCAACGCGAGTCGCTATGAGATTGGAGCATGGCTATTACATGCTTACCTTCCCTTTCGTGAGTTTTTTAGACGTTATCCGTCAATAAATATCGAGGTTTGGGATCGTACTGTTACTTATGAACAGAAGTATGAACTTATATCTTCTTTGCATACCGCTGTGAACACAGGGCTGATCGATTAAAGACCCTCACACGATTAGATGAATTCATTTTCTACTTTTCTGGCGTTATATGGTATATGTCGTTTTCCGATAACCGTATAGTTACTGGATAGACCATAAAAGCGTACCTCCAAGACTGTTCTTTCTTATGTTTATTCGATAGAGCCGCATTCTACAACTGGATGCCTGAGGTAATCCCCGATGGATCCATGTATGCTCAGTGCACCGCGCGAGATATAGCCAAAGGGTACAATTGGTCTTCTACTCTTTAGCGTCCTGAATTGTCACCCGAGTGGGCTCCGCTCTATTCTCAGTGGCGCTCCATATCGGTTACATTTGTTTCCGTACTCTTCCATTTTCAACACCGTCAATTTTTACTTCTTCCTCAACTGCTTCTTTTCAATTGCTTCCTTTTGAATTCTTCCTTTTTCAATTGTTTCCTTTTGCATTGTTCCTTTTTTTTGTTTGTTCTTCACTAGAAAATTCTTGTTAAAATCCTGGGCTTGTCCATCTTTAAAAATTAAATCTTTGTAAATCATATATATAAACGTGCTGGGTTTTGTCATCTTCAGTTAATATAATTGTGCTGGGCCCATAACCTGTTGAACGGTGGATGTGGCTAATGGGATCACTTTCAAACCAAATAAGGCACAGACTTCTAAACGTATTTATTTTGAACTTCACATTTTTTGAATGGATATAATTTATAAAAAATACACATGTTACTGCTATAAGCTATTTTTACAGAATACCAAGAATATGACGATTCGGTCTGAACAAATAAAACAGACATTCCAAATTTAAATTAATTTAAACCTTTATGTATATATGTATAAACCAAACAGATCAGAGTTGACATCAAAAGAGTATGTATACTCTGAGATTACCAATCAACAATCGGAGTGGGCACTCTCTCGCTCGGTAACGTGATTGCAGCTATGGTACGGAGCGAGAGTGTGTGGAACTCCGCCGTCTCCTTGTGCGAGCAAGTTTTGCTTGCGAAGGATATGGCGGAGCGGGACCGCGAGAGGTTTAGAACTCTCCCGGTACGGCAGACCCGGGAATGGACCACGTACCGAAGGCGACTCAGGCGCCGGAGATCGCAGAACGATCTCCGTCCTCAATAAGCGCAGGCCTGGGGGTGCTAGGTGAGGTCATCTGTCACCCTAGCAGAAGCAGGCCAGGTTACCACGAGACACGCTAAGAGCACGTGCGCCTTTTCCAGAGCACAAGGGGACATGGTGGTTCCCACACAGAAGAGGGTCATCTACACACCCTAGATGGCCCGAGGTACGTCGGGGTATAGTAGGCCAAAAACCTCCTTTCTAAGGAGAGGCCTATGTCCAGCAGTGGACTATTAAATGCTGTTGATTACGTCGGGGTACCAGGGATTTCCTTTCTAGGATACATCACATGGTTCCCCGGCAACTGGTACCCGAGACGGCGTGCGGTTTTTAGTCGGTTTGAGTCCGACTTAACCATCCTACCGGTGGGTGGTATCCTAGGGGATTTCCGCACAGGAAAAAAAACGGCTATTTTTCCTCTCAAAACCCTATACAATTTTTCGATCCGGGAATCGCACCCAAGTATAGATGTAAAACAACCGATTTAAAACGTTTTAAACGGTTGAAATCACTTTATTGTGGGCAGTTTTGGTCACCTGACGTCATGTTCCGTTTTAATTAGTTTATAGAAAATCAATAGAAAGTACCTACCTACTAAAGTACATTACGTACTACACGAAAACTTAAGTATGTAGGTATACCTACCTATAATTATTTAATAAATTATATTACACACTAGATTAAACATTACTTGCGCATGAAAGAAACAACGTTATGTCTTCAAGGCCCTCGTGCCGGTGCCACCGCCGGCTTGCAAAAGTTTGTATTCGAAATATTCGATTGAACACTATAGTTTGTAAAGCAGCGGTTTTATGGAATATTTCTTTTAGATTATCTAGTACTTGTCAACTAATAAACTGTAAAAATAGTATTACTACATGTACTCTGTGGTTACAAAGATCGCCAAAAAAAAATGGGCCGTCAAGTTGACAAAGATTTTGACAAAATCTCTAAACAAAACAAACGGTTGGTTGTAAACTCCAGTAAGCCTCGTTTACGTTGCATAGTTGATTATTTTAAGAAAAAGTATCTAAAAGGACGAAGATTACATTAAATACTTTGTTTTTGTATAATGGCTCGTGTTTATGTGAAGAAGGATCCTTTCATTTGCTGTGATGAGTGAGACCGACGATACAGATGTTCTTCTGCTGATACCACCAAATTTCTTCCTGGTACAAAGCTCTGGTTCCGAAGACTCCCTACTAGAGTCTTCAAGGACAGTAGTACACAAGCCCCAATCTTGCACTGCCCAAGTTCTCGGTAAACTAGTCGACCAAGTGCATACATTGGAGTCTAGATTAGAAAGTTTGGAAGCCAGCAGTGATATCTCGAGTGTCAGCACAATAATTAAATCTAAGACCTGGGACACAAGCGAAAGTATTGATAATCGAAGCTTGGAGCGGAAATGTTTTACTTTTCCGCGTAGACGGAAAAAGAAACTCACAAAAAAGCTAAGAAGTCAAGATTTATCACCAACGAGCTTAGATTCAATAAGTACAGTGGTTGGTAGTATCCCACCTCTTGACTTAGACTATATCGAAACATTTTGCCCTAAACCACTTGATATTATAAATGATATTCAAAGCATGGATGGCGATGTAAGCAGTATAGTTTCCACACCAAATAAAAAGAATGATAAGTTGCTTCTACATGAAATCGATGAATTTCTTACTAAAGTTGAAAACTACGAGACTCCTGAAACCAATTTCAAAGATGTAGAATCAACTGTCACTGCAGAAAATGTGATAAAAGCAACAGGAGACTATATTACACAAAAACTTGACACAACAAATAATGTTGAAGATGTGAGACTTCCCAGCGGTAGAGTTGTTCCGAGTAATATACTCGATAAATATATTTATTTAGTCAAAAACAGTACTGCAGCTCCAAAACCGGAAAAGTCTTTGTCTACAAGTTATAAAAGTTGTGATAGGCCTTCTGTAAGCAATGTTGAAAGTGCAACAAAGGCAACCGCAGAGATTTCTAAACATGATACAAGATCCCCAACTATTAGAAAGCTAAACTTTTGTGACAAAGACGTTCCACCTACATCTACCCCGAAAAAAACTTACACAAGCCACTTAGACTCCTTCCGACCATCATCAAATAAAATCTATGACAGGGCGTCAAAAGTCCTAGAGCAGTATAAAGCTCAAAGCTATAGCAGAAACACCCAAACATCAGTCACAGATAGTTATTCTTCTCCTAAAAAAGAAGAATTCAAGATGCCACAAATGAGACCTTACTGCCCAGAGATTAAAGATGGTATGAGATTGGCATCTCTACAGAATAAATACATGGAGACTATTGATACAGATCTGTTGAGTTTGAGCGAGCTTTGGGGAGACAGAGGGGATCGGGGGGAAAGAGGGGATAGTGGGAAATTGGAAGAAGAAAAATTAAAGAGAGAAGTAAGTTTAATTGATGTATTTTTACCGTATAGTAGGGCAGACGAGCAGACAGGTCACCTGATGCTTAGTAACTACTGAAATTCATGGACCATTGCAACCCATGAGTCACAAATTCATTGCTGCCATTTGAGTCATCCCAAAAGGCAAGGACGGATTTGGACTGCGGTAACCTCTCTTACTTGCAACAAACGGATTGCTTAAGACTAGTTTTTACCAGTATTCTAGCTAATCTCGGTACAAATATTACTGATTTTTCCTAGGAAAAAGCTGATATTATGAGAAATGATTTAAACTACTTTTATTTATGGAAAATAAATTAGTATTAGAAATAGATTGTGGAGATATAAATATGTGAAAGATGTACCAGCTAAGCAGTGTAATATAATGTTCAAAACTTCTAGAAACTTACTCTTTTTACAGCACTGTGAATCTATGATCCAACAACTACAAAAGAAGATTCTAGACCAACAAGAAAGATTGGCAGTGGCTGTCAAGGTTGATCGTGCTAAGGATGCAGCCATTAACAAGTTACGAGAGGCCTGGCTGAGACTTACGGGCAACCTTGACAAGGCAGAAGAGAGGCATAGACAAGCTTTAGAGAAAATGGTCAGTGAAGTGGAGAATTTTCGAATGGTTGCTGATGATGCTCAAAAGGTACTAGTTAGATATAAAGCTTTAAATTTAGGTGGATGAGGAGGTACAATTCAGCTGCTAGACTGAGGAAGACCTCTACTTTAAAGGAACTACTTGACTAGTTAGGTGATTATTCCAGTATATAAATTGTACCCAACTTAATACACCAGTTTATAAAGGTTTTGTACAAAATTATAAAATTATCCACGAACCTGACAACATAGGGTTTTTATTTATTTTTAATGGATTACTTGTCACATCATGTTATTTGTTGCCGCTCATACCAAGCGTATTTTGCGCATATGTTTAAGAAGTTGCACATATGCAACGAGAAGTTTGAAGGTCATGCACAAAGGTAGTGGGAAATTTAAAGGATATTGGAGTGGCATTTGGCTATTAGTAAAAAAAAAAAATGAAAACATAAAAAAAAAAGTACACATACACAAAAATGCAGACACTATTGTGTCTGCTTTTTTGTGTGTTGGATTTTAAGGTCTATGTTAATGATATAAGGATATGGGAATCTCATAATATATTATAATAATATATTATATTATGAGATTCCCATATGGATTTTTATACAATTTTAGTTTTTAATTTTGTTACCTTATTGGGAAAAAACAAAATGAAAATTCAACTGTATTCCAAACCATGGTTATGTACACAATGAAGATATGCTATCCTCATATATTTGGCTTCAAATACGAATATTTTATTCCACATTAGAAATTAATTGGTTATGTAGAAAATAGAAGTTTTTATTTCATTGTTCATCATTATAATGTATTTTTTTGACAGAAAACGAGTCATTTCGAAACCGAACTATACAAAGCATTAGACCTAGCACACGATTATCAAGAAAAGTGCAAACACCAGACAGCTGAGAAGAAAGAACTTGAACAGAGAATGAATAAGTGTTTGTTAGAAAGAGACGAGGTCATCGCACGTAAAGACAAAGAGATTGAAGTGTTGAAAGAAAACTATGAGACTGTTATGAGACTAAATAAGCAGTCTACAGACTGTGTGAAGAACCTTGAAGATGCTTTGGAAAGAGTAAGTGAGAATCTATATTAGTTATGTTATTTTAATGGCGTACGACTGCACGGATGGCGTAGTGGTTTAAGCGATCACCAGGGACTTGCTTTCTAGGGTATACCTGGTTTCCCGGCTATTAGTACCCGAGACGGCGTGCGGTTTTAGTTGGTTCGAGTCCGACATGGCACCGATAGGTGGTATCCGAGGTGATTTCCGCACGGAAATCACGCCGCTTCCTACTGCACCGAGTGTTGTGGGTTCAAACCCCACATGGGACGACACTTTGTGTGATCCACAAATTGTTGTTGTGAGTCTGGGTGTTATTTGTGTCCATTTCATAAATGTTTGTAAAGTCCCCGCTACACAGGATATATTCCTAACTAGCTGACCCGCGCAACTTCATCTGCGTCTCTCATTGGTAATAAATTTTCTCCGTTTTTCAAACATTCTTCATTGGTGCTCCGCTCCTATTGGTCTTAGCGTGATGATATATTGCCTATAGCCTTCCTCGATAAATGGGCTATCTAACACTGAAAGAATTTTTCAAATCGGACCAGTAGTTCCTGAGATTAGCGCGTTCAAACAAACAAACAAACAAACAAACAAACAAACTCTTCAGCTTTATAATATTAGTATAGATGCAGGAGTTGTCTTTTTTTAAATAGATAGAATAGAGTCAACTTTGCTCCCCCTTGTTAATTACTAAAAAAAAATTTTTATCACCTTTTGCAATGTATCAGAAGTATAAATAAAATATACTTATAATAAATATATGTTTTTTTAAGGAAAAGTCAGACCATGAGCATACCAGAAATGGTGCGAATGACCTCACCCGTAAGATACAATCGTTGAACGACCAAATGTCCATCATGGTTCAAGAGCGCGACCTTCTGAAAGAGAAAGTGAACGAAGAACGATCAAGAGGTAACATGTTGGAGAAGCAGTTAGCGGAGAAGCAAAACCAAAGTAGTGAACTGCTGAAGAAGTGTGTAAGTTATTTATTTATTTTTTTATGTTAGAGGGGGCGAGCAGACGGGGAGCACCTGATGGAAAGTAACCATCGCCGCCCATGAACGTCTGCACTCTTTTCTTGAAGGTTTGAAGGTCGTATCGGTCCGGAAATACCGCAGACGATAACCCGTTCCATAGATTGGTTGTGCGGGGCAAAAAGTGTCTCTCTTATAATCTTTTTGACATTTTAAAGAATGATCAAAAATATTACTTATGTTGTATCAGTTTCTCTCAGTAAATCTAGCAACAATTTACAAATAATTTTATTTCTATATGACTTTCACGTTTGTTATGTTAGTTAGCTATAAGAATTGATTATTATAAATTTCTAGCTTCTGCTGGCTGCTTTTTTTTTTTTCTTTTTTACCACATTCACACAACGCTATCTAGCCCCAAACTAAGCAGAGCTTGTTCTATGGGTACTAGACAACTGATATAAATACATAAATACTTTTTTTTTTTGTACAGGACAATCTGGACAACGAAGTAAAGAACCTTCGCAATCATCTGGAACTCCAGAAGACGGAGCTGAAGTGCCACTACCAGAAGCAGCTGGAAGACGCAGTGATGGCCAAGCTGCAGGAGTTCCAGCAGCAACTGGACATGGCAGAGAGGGAGATGGAGAGTGATGCCCGGAGTAAAGAGATGTCGATAGTTGATACGTATAATAAGCAAATATCGAGGATAGAGGAACAGTAAGTCTCTTTATATCTTAACTGTATATTAAGAACTAGCTGACCCTGCAAACTTTGTTTTGCTATTTACATTATTTAAAAAAAAAAAAAAAACTTAAAATCCGTTCTTAGCTGACCTTTACTCGGTGAAAAGAATATTCCTACCAAATTTCAAGTCTTTAGCTGTAATGTTTCCAGAGATATCGTGATGAGTGACTATATACGAGGAAATCTCTTATTCAAATTCAAATTCTGGGGAAAGGAGAGGACCAGCACTGACTGCTGTAGAGCTACATGTGGGCATGGGTGGCGGTAATCATTTACAATTGGGTTGGTATAGGGATTGTTTCAAGTTTTCCTTCTTTTTGCAGTATTGCAGACTGCACGGATGGCGTAGAGGTTTAAGCGGTCGCCACGCTGCTTACTACAACGCTGTGTATTGTGGGTCCGATCCCCACACGGGACGACACTTTGTGTGATCCACAAATTGTTGTTCTGAGTTTGGGTGTTCTTTGTGTCCGTTTCATGTATGTTTGTAAAATCCCCGCGACACAGGATATATTCCTAATGCGGGAACTGTCTTTTAAAAAGAAAAAAAAAGAAATGGTTGTCCTGAGTGTTTGCTCCCTTAGTTGGCTCTTACGACACCCACTGTTTGAGGGTGGTGACAATCCGTATTCTTAATCCGTCACCACACGGACAACAACATACATAGATATTATATTACTTTTCAGGCACAAGTTAGAGGTGAATGTCTTAGAAGAGAAGCAAAGAGAAGAAATTAAACTGTACAGGCTACAGCTGGCTCAGGCCAGCGAGAAAATTGGATTACTTGAGGTAAAGCATCTTACAAGACTGGGTGGTGTAAAACTCATCTGTTTGTATAAAAAATGAAATCCATCCAATGAGTCCATCCAACCATTTTATTAAACTGTGTTGTTTTTTTTTTAAAGATTTCTTACTGCATAAATTAAATATTGGAAATCCGGTTTGTGATATTAACTTTTAAACTTTTTTTTTTGTTGTTTCTGCTTCATGGCAATCTGTTTTCCAACAATAAGCCACTTCTTTGTTTGATTTCTCAGTTTATGTTTACTGCAAGAGCCATGATTGTATGAATTTTTTTTCACACGACCCTTTTGATGTCAAGTGTTGAATCTTTTGTGTAGGCTCGGTATGTCACTTCTTTTTAGTCGGGTATGCTGAAGAGCGCCTTCTCCACTCAGTGCGTGTGCCAGTTGGTTTACATGGACGGCCAGTTTCTCCTGAAATTTCAGGCTGATTTGAGCTATTTCCTGCCGAACTGCTTTTAGGCCAAAGTCGAGGTATATGTATCTATTACTTATACAATGAGGGATGCCAAACATTGTTCTCAGAGCTTTGGTCTGGAATCTCTCCAGGATATCTATATTACTGTTCCTGGCCGTTCCCTTTTAACTTTTAAACTATTGCGTTCCATGTGATATCGTGACCACTCGGTCGAATAGTGACCGCGTTAACTCCCGTTATACATTTAAATATTGAAACTCCGGTCCCCTACCGGACTTTCTGGGAAAAAAGTGACGTAGTGTAAAGTAAAAAAAGTTATTGTAGCATTTTTACTTCGTTCACTTAATTATAGCAAATTGAAGAAAAGTAAAGCCCCTATGATCTATGCCAATAACTGTTTTACATTTTTCAAAAAGCTACAGTAGTTTAAATATTATAGTTTTTTAGAATAACAACACCAAAGTCGATCCTCTTATGTAAAAATTATGGTCGGAATATAACAGGTCTTTTAAGAGAAATCTCTTTTGAATTTATAATAATCTAAAACACAATCTATTTTCAAGGATTTGTTAGACTTGTAAGATTTTAAATTTACTGGCCTCCCCCCCCCCTCTCTCTTCCTTGCCGTCTCATGTGTTACCTATACATCCCGCAGAGCAAACTGGAGTCGTACCGTCGTCGCCGCGGCCAGATCGCGTCGCAGCTGCACGGCGTCATGGAGGCGCAGTGGCGACAGGCGCTGCTGATCCTCACGAGCGGGAACGGCCTCGCGCCCTCGCTCGACGCCACGAGACCCGACAGCGGTGGGGACTCTTTCATATATCTATACAAATAAATCAAATTGGAGTGTCCGTTTGTAATATTAAAATAACCGCTTATTACTAAATGCATATGTATGTTTACACGGTACATATGCCAAAATAACATTTTTTACAATTTTTTTCTGTCTGTCTGTTTGTTCCGGGTTATCTCTGGAACGGCTGGACCGATTTCGACGGGACTTTCACTGGCAGATAGCTGATGACATAAGGAGTAACTTAGGCTACTTTTTTTAGACTAGCTTCGCCCCGCGGCGTTGCCCGCGGTTATAACAACAAACGTGGGTAACACCGCGGGTCTCGGCTAGTACTATTATATAACTAACGTTCTCAAACTGATAAATACATTTCGATTTTGACGATATACAATTTCACACCAAAAACAATCACTAGAAAAAAAACAAAGCAGTATTATTAAATTTCGTCATCACAAGAAGACAAAACATAAGTAAAATTAATCCAAATTACGAGATACGTCACTTTTGTTTACTGCCAAAAATTTAATTAGAAAACTCGATACCACGCTTACCACCTAGGTGTTTCCTGAAACAATATATAAGTATATTAGTATAGTCATGCGGAGGGATGAGGAAAATGTGGCGAAGAAAGTTTTAGGTATGAGAGTTGAAGGGTACAAGAGAAGAGGCAGACCGAAGAAGAGGTGGATGGACTGCGTCAGTGAGGATATGGCTAGGAAGGGAGTAAACAGTGAGATGACGCATGACAGAGTAGAATGGAAAAATCATACAAAATGCGCCGACCCCAAATAAAATTGACAAAAGGGTAGGCAGATGATGAGTACAAATAAAGTTATTAAAAGAAAATAATTGTGTACACACCAATTTACCAAAAAAAAAAATATACTATACTTTTTATACGATATTTTACTTAACTTTTCATTTAATTATACGATATTTATCTTTTTTGTTTGTTTTTTTTATTAAATCGATCTAAGTGGCGTGCAATGGAAGAGGCCTATGTCCAACAGTGGACTGCTATAGGCTGATGATGATGATACGATATTTTACTTAAATTATAATTTAAAACTTCTTATACCTAATTATTTCAGTGTCAACGTTAGCAGGTCCAGAATACCCCAAAGTGCCTCCACTATCACTACCGGACCGCGGTCTCGTCCGACCCGAGCGTGCTGAGCGACCGGACCGTGCCGACCGAGGCGACATGCAGGACAAGTTGATGGACGGTCTCACCGATAATGAAATACAACAGTACGTTAAACTGGTAATAACAATGTTTTTTTTTTGTATTTTTTTATAATATCTAAGATAGGACAGGATGTGAATTGATTTTATTTATTTATCTTTGACGACCGAATGGCGTAATGGTTTGTGTAACGGACTGCTATTCCAAAGGTCGCGGGTTCGATTCCCGCTCAAGTCAAGCATTTGTGTGCATGAACATTTAATGTTTGATTTGGTCTGGGTGTTTCTATGTATAATTGTATGTATTTACAAAAAAAAAAAAGTATATATGTATTTATATCAGTTGTCTAGTACCCATAGTACAAGCTCTGCTTAGTTTGGGACTAGATGGCGTTGTGTGAATGTCGTAGAATATTATATTATATTATTATATATTATATTATCTTAGATTGTTATTACTTCGAAAAGGTATGCACTGATATAACGGTGGGTGGTGTTACATCCACCGTTAATTAAGGCGAGATTATTGATATTATACTGTTTCAAGATTTTCGTATAAGATGATAATTTTTCATTTATTTGAAAAGTAATTTACTTGATCCGTTCTTAAGGCCACTTGTGCTTCTGCTTGTCAATAAACTTCTTTTTAGATTTCTATCTATTTTCTGTTACAAAAGAGAGATCTTATGTATAAGTAGCGGCACGAAACTCTAGCGGTGACAGTTACTGCGCAGAAGTCAAAAATCAGGTATCTTGTGGGGTAAGAGGGACGAAGGGCGGGCGTGCGTAGCGCCGATTGGCTCTCCAGTCGCATTACGTCCCCCGCACTGATACGACACGCCGCGTGCTTCCAGAGTACAGTCGCGTTCTGAGTTATATTGTTATCGCTGTTAATTTTTGTTGCAATAAATACAATACTCATTTAAAGACAATGCAGGTTGCAGCTGGGAACAGAAGACATAAAAAAAGCGTTTTAAAATTATTTAACGTTACAGTCGTATGTTGTGGTAGGGAAAGGACTGCGTTAATTGTTGTGGTATTTAATGCGACAAATCAAGCATCATTGTTTAGATAATAAACTGCTAAGTTGAAAACTTTCACAAAGTGAATTGCATATAATTATAGTTCAACAAATTCTGTTTTAATTTTTCTACTTCCTATAAACTTGTTAAAAATCCTGGGTAACATAATTTTTTTGGATATTGGAACTATAAACTATAATAATGACATACACATACACTCACGCATACATACGCACGCACACCACGCACACGCACAAACAAAGTACTTTTTTTTTTAACATACACGTTTATTACTACTACTTAAGATTTAAATGTTAATACACATGGAGACCAATAATACTGGTTCAACCCAGTGCAGGCTCCCATCTCCTACAAGCACAATAACTGTCTGTATATATTCTTATAGCTTTTACCCGCGGCTTCGCTCGCAGTTTTATCTTTCGTAAAAAATATTATTTTAATAAAAAGTATCATATGTTACTTCTAAAACCTCCAAGAATATGTGTACAAAGTTTCATGATGATCGGTTAAGTAGTTTTCACGTGAAAGCGTAACAAACTTACATTCACATTTATAATGTTATATAGTATGATTACTTACTTACCTTTTGTACCTATTGTTGAGAAAATAAAGAAATTCAAATTTGACGACTCTGGCACGTGAACAACTTTCAGAAGTTACACTCTATAACATTAACTATTTACTAAAGTTAATATTTGCGTGCGCGATAGTACCCATGCGCGGCTATCCCTTCCACGTTCCGCTCAGCGCTAGACTTACGTGCCGCTAGTTATATCAAAAGTATTTACAACACCAATTCTCGGTTGTGTTCTCTTATTATAGATTTATTAACTATGTGGATATAGTAATCATTACAAAAAGATTTTTATAGTACCTCCCCTTTTTTTTCTGTGCGGAAATCCCCTCGGATACCACCCACCGGTGGGTAGTTATGTCGGACCCGAACCTTCCAACCCGTCTGTTTAGCGTGGTATAGTAGGCCAAAACCTCCTTTCTAAGGAGAGGCCTATGTCCAGCAGTATTAAAGTCTGTCGATGAGTAGAATGTTATACATGTGCTTCCAGCTGCTGACCCGTCCGGCGGCGCTGGAGGGCGGCGGCGACAGCGCGGAGCCCCAGCGCGACACGGACCAGCCCAGCGAGCGCAGGGACCGCGCCCGCCGCAGCCTCAACACCAAACCGCCATGGAAGGCTTAGCCGCTCGCGCGTAGTGGCTTCAGGTCACCTCACCCTTTCCTACTGCGCTGAGTGTTGTGGGTTCGAGCCCACACGACAGCCAGTCTGTGTTCTTTGAGTCCGTTTTATGTATGTCTATAAAGTCCAATATGTTCCTAGTGCGGGGGTTGTCTTTTCAAAAACATGCTGTTGCTCATGTAATAGAATCGTAATTAAAAATTTCCATCTTAGAATGTAATATTTTAGAATAAGATTGATTCTAAAATATATATAATAAATTATAAACACCGTGATATCACAGTGCCGAAATATCGTAAACTAATTGCTTTAAGTAAACATGATATATATCCCGTTTATAATAACTTATCAAATATTATACAAACCTAACTAAATCGAAAGCAGAACAATATTAATATCAAAAGAAATTAATTTCTATGTACAACGATTTGCGATAGTCACGAATAAAACCCGGCATTCCAAATATACATATTATCTTACATACATATAAAAATTTAAAAAAGTTACTGATTTGACTTAATAGTCACCTGCCTATTACATTTTTAAGATATTAAAATAAACATATATATTACATATATATATAAAACAATGATAAAACTATGTGCACATTTTGTGTTAAGAAAAGAACATATATATAGTGACCTGAATGACAAAGCTTTGCTCGGTTTTTTTTTATTGGTAACTTTTCCAAAACTGAAACCTAGCTAGATCGAATAATCGCCCCCTAAACCCCCCTGAATAATAAACTTCATGAAAATCGTTATAGCCGTGTGGCGACTCACAGAAACATACTACAGCGCCATCTAATGAACTATGACACACCGAACTACGGAGTAACTACTAAAATAAGAATTGCTAATCCTGTATCGCGATATAAAGAATTCCCTCGCCGATTAGCATATGTACAACTTCCCAACATCAACCGTTGGGCCGCGGCCCGCCAGGCATGATCACCTCGCCTGGTCGGAGGATCCTCCCTTTGTGTTGCAGGGACATGACACCCGTTCCTCCACAGCCGTTTCCGAGAACAGATTATATATATATATATATATATACAAGAATTGCTTGTTTAAAGGTATTATATAGGTATATAATAAAAAATATCATCCTCTAAGAATATAGCTAATACTCATTTTATTCAATACATAACTTGATATTGTTACATTAATTTAATTAATGAAATAAAGCAAATGTTAATTATTACCTAATATTATTTAGTTATAAATGATTAATACCCGCCTATGTTGAATACATTCCCGCCGTTTTTTTTAAAATTTACGAATTACGAATTTTAATTTTTACGAATGGCGTAGTGGTTTAAGCGATTACTCGTCGCTTTCTTTTGGTTCGACCCTCACTTGGGACAACACAAATTGTTGTTCTCGATGTGGGTGTTCTTTGTGTCCGTTTCATATACCCCCGTGACACAGGATAACCTCCCTGTGCAGGAGTTGCATATTTTAAATAAAATAAAATGAATAACCGTAATTAATATCAAATACTTTGATTAAATAAAAAAAACTGTTGAACATTTTTTTGTGAAGAAAGGTAAAGGTAAGGTAAAGAGTATATTATAATAATAATATTTCGGACATGTAACACACAACGCCATCTAGTTCTAAACTAAGCAGAGCTTTTATTATGAAAGATAGATTGACTAATAGAATATTTGTATACTTTTTTTCTGTAAATACATATATATTAGACATAGAAAACACTCAAACTCCGAAACAAATTTTTGCAGACATTTGGTCTGACCTGGGAATTGAACCCAAGACCTCAGCTCAGCGTCATACGCTACCACTGCAAAATAATAATACTAATAATTATGTTTTTATTACATTCATTCACTCACGCCTTAATTCCGTCTGTGTCCATTTCCCACGATCCTGACACAGCTTGCGCCTCTTCCACATCATCACTCCGGGTGCTTTAAACGAGGCTTTCAGGGTCTGGTCGCACTGACTCTTCCACTCAGAGGCCTAGTTAATTCTTTTGTTCTCGTGCATATTTCGGGGATTAATACATCTGAACTCTACATTTAAAGTTACTTACCCTGACTCTCTGATTCATCAATGCAAAGCCTGTAGCCCGCTGGGGCCACTTTCTTGAAATTGGCGCTGATGATGTTTTTTATGTTGTAAGCACCAACTAAGAAGGGATTTTTGGAAATGTCACCCCTAAGGGAGTAAAATTAGAGGTAAACAGTTGTATGAAACTTCGTAATTTTCAAATTTAGAAACACGAAATAAGATATAATCAGCGACGCCGCAGACTAGTTAATATTATAAGCGCGATCTATCTATGAATAAAACATAAATAAAAAATATCTGTATCTATGCCCATACATCCATCCTCACCAACTGGTGAGGTATGGGCATTTTTTATTCATTCACACCGGAACAGCTAAACGAATGGTGATATAATTTGATACATAGATACATTATAAATTACTAGCTTTTGCCCGCGGCTCTGCTCGCGTAAATGTCGGTTATCGCGGTAAAAAGTAGCCTATGTCTTTCCTCAAGAATCAAAGTATCTTCATATCAAAATTTATCTAAATCATTCAGGTTCAGCGGTTATCGTTGAGGTAACAGACAGACACTCTTGCATTATAATATTAGTATGGATACTCAAGAATAGAATATAATAAATAACAAAAGTTAGTCTAAAGTGATATAAATATTCTTAATCCGTGTGGTGACAGACTAAGAATACGGAATGTCATTCATCCCGTGGGTGTCGTAAGAGCCGACTAAGGGAGCAAACTGCACAGGACAACAGCACTGCAAAGAGGTATATGTCCAGCAGTGGACTGTTTAAGGCTGTTGATGATGATATAAAGTTAATTTTATGTCATAAGTACAATTAATTGTAGGAACATATTGAACACAGAATTTAACTTAAACTATGCTTTTAATGACCCAAGCTTCGTTTTCATTTAACATAACTATTTGCCACAACGATTATTGATGTAAAACTGTAGTATGTACTATCGTCAAAAGGGACGGAAGTGTGTAACACGAAGCCGGGAAGTGCGGACCTTTTCCGCCATCAGAGGGTTAGCTGTCAATCATTATATGGTGTTTTTGTATTAAGTTATTGTGTAGTTTTGTAAGGTACTTTATTTTAATTTGTGTATATACTGTATTTTTATATGAGATTTAAAAGTAAGGTGTATGATAAATTTGCGTTTCTAATACTGTTATGAATTTAGAACATTCCCGAATAACACTCCATATTTTGTTGTTTAATAAATTATATTTTATATAAGTGACTTTTATTGTTAATACCTACATTTGGATAGCCACTGTGCTAGTGGTATCTTCAGTGCCAGGCGTGCCTTTTTTATGGTATAAGGGGGCAAACAAGCAAACGGGTCAATTGATGGTAAGCGACTATCGCCGCCCATGGAGATCTGTAACTCAAGACTAACATGTGCACTGAATAATTACTTCAATAACTCTAATCTGGCCAAAAATATTTATATCACAACATACCTGTAAGTTGGAGCCTCAGGGCTAGCACAGACCGAGAGAAGCGCGGCGGATTTTTTTAAGACACTCGAAAATAAACTTTATGGTTACAAAGTGCAAACATGTTTGAACATGCCATTGTTTTGACCGCGGTCTGCGCGGTGTCGAGAAAATGCCCGAGACCGCGCAAGGATTAGCTCTCGCGATCTACGCTGACCTACACTCTATATAATAAAAAGTAAAACAAAACACAAAAAAAATCAACGAATTATTTATTCATGAAGGTAAATGCGATTTAAAAATATATTCCAATATTATTATAATGGCATCATGATCTTTATACAACACTAAATGTACACTTATTACATATTTATAACAATATTTATCAACAGGCAAGAACTTAAAAACATAATATTGTTTGATCTATTAAAATCATAGGTGTAAACAAAACACAGCCTTATATATATAAAATATGAATGCATACGTATATACATATTTATATAACAATTTTATATAATTTATCGGTAGAAGAGGAATCGATATGCATTTAAGGATGTCGTGTCACGGCAGGGCGAGCTTTGGCAGCCCGAAGGACGCTTTGGCATCCCGCAGAAAGTCAAGCTCCTCAGCCATCGCACGCGTTTTAAACCTTATTTCAATTACTTTAGCTGTCATAATCCTGTGATTTATGTGGCTCGTGGGACGCGATGGTACACCGCGGCAATCCGTGGAATGAAATAGCATGACACGACATGCCGCGGCACGCCACGACGTGACGCAGTATGATTGTATCGAAATAAAGTAATATGAATTCTAAACCTATTGAAATAAGGATAAAAAGAACTTGATCTGATATAAAAAAAAAATTACCGTGCCGTGCCGCGACGGTAGTCAGCGCCGGCCTTTTGAGAAGATAATACAATAAATTCATTAAAAAACTTAAGAGGTATTTATGCTTTCTGACTTTCCTTCTGTCTTCTTTTTATAATGTTAACTGACTTTAAATTTAAACACAATGTGTTCTTAATCTTGATAACAAAACACTAATTCTATATATTGTAAGTTAATGCAATATTTCATATTTATAATTAACAATAATAATAATGTAACACACCTCACACACGGCCGTCTGATCCCAAATTAGGGAAAGCCTGTACAACATTATCTCCGGCTACCTTAGTCACATATGAAATGCACAAAAGAATTACTTAACACCGGTTTTGCTGTGAAATCGTGGAATCACTCCCGTAACTAAAAAAATAAAATAAAAAAACATACAAAAAACAAAACAATGCTTAAAAATCGGCAGTACTTAGTGTAGTCCTTGATTCGCTATGCAATAAACAAACCTTGCGGTTATTGAAAGACATAAAATGTAGAACATAGATATACAAAATGGCGTATAAAAGATAGGTCAGAGAAGTTTGAAAATAAATAAACAGAGAAAAAGGTTGTAGTTAAACAGTAATTTATAAAACAAAAAGAATAGAAAAGAAATTGATACCTGTCTATCAGCACTAGAAACTTCATTCAGGTCCTTTAACGATCAAATTATTCTTACACAATAAAAGATACAGATTTGAAGAATTTTGCTCTAATAGCTAGACATAACATCTTTTTATTTCTTAGACCATTTAAATGTTTTTTTTAGAGAACAATGCACTGTCGACTCTTCCACCGATAAATGAGATTATTTATCAAAAATATTTTGTGTATATGAGATGAACGTTTTACGACAGTGCTTTATATACAATTAAACTTCTAACACCCGATTGCAACTAAATAAATTGAATTCTTTAACGGCCATAATGCTTAGTCTGTTTTACTAACTATTATTTTAATTTCTTTTAAAAGTATCGCTTCGTGAATTCTCAAAACGTATTTTTCTCTTGATATTTTAGCTTATATTGCATTATCCACTAAGCCTTTTTTGTTATAAATTGACGACTTCTTGAATTAATGGGAATGGTTTGAAATTCAATCACTGGATTTTATTTCTCAGCTTTTATAGTAATGGGTTTTGTAACTGAAAATTAAACTTCTACCACAATGAACTTTTTACATAGACCCTATTATTACAATGAGTTTGCTGGATATCAATAAAATATATCGGCTGTTATGCAAAAGTAATTCGATAAACATTTTTAATAATATGAGATTACCGCTTATTTCGCTACGTTGAAGCTAAAACCTTCCCGCGTAAACAAGATAATTCAAAACTGGGTTCTAAATTTGAAATAAAAAAAAAAAAAAAATATTGAAGGTATTTTGTGATGGAAACTTTTTAAGATTACTGGGAGAAATATTAACATAGCTTGCTGAGATTCACATTTTGTTTTGTAAAATAGTTTATGAAACGATTAATGTAGAATTAAATAACTATTGAACGAATATAGTAATGTGTTATTACTTTTATATTATATTCGGCTGCAATCGGATAACTTAAATCTAAAGTGACTAACACAAAACATTATAATTTAGTTTGTGTACAAATACAACAAAACTGGATATACATTTTTATGATTAATAAATATTTCCAATTATTTAATTTAAATATAATCGCGTTTTTTTTTAATACAAAATACAGTTTTCAAGTTTATGGTTACCCATTTATGGATAAACTTTTATAAACTATATTATTCTAGACATCTATTTTGGCGGCCCATTTCGGCTAAGAGTCCACCCAACAGAGTTACTTTAAGCATAAGAAATGAGGGGTAACTTTGGCCTATAATATAGCTGCATGCATTTTTTAACTCTGAAGAGATACTTTTACGTTTTCTAGTTTTAGTCTCGATTTTAGTCGGTTGATCGATATGTGTCGGCAGTTCTTTTACCAAAGACAATGGCGGGTAACTTTGCCCACGATATTATAGATACTCTTGATCCGATGATGGCTTTTGATTTTCTCTTCTCCTATACTAGATGATGTTTGAGATAAGAGTGCCTGGATAGCTGCCTGCCACCAGGAGTCCTTACCACAGTTTCTCTATGTGCGCTGTGTGTGTGCGCTTTCATTAATCTTTCTCTATGTGACCAAGTATATCAGCTTTTCGAAAGCTATCTTCGCATACATACGTAATGATATCAATTAAAAAGTAATGGTTCTTGATCCGTGTCTATGGTACATAATCAATTTTCTCAGTTAGCATACATAAAATTGTTAGATGCAGATGCATCAGAGCCCTCTAACCACTTTATGTATTCTGTGTGGCCCAGATCTGTGTAGTTTTTTTTAATTTGAATTTCTGCACATAATTATAGCAACCTTCTTGTAATAATACTTAGTATTAAATGAAGGTACGTGTAATACTTGTTTATGCGAGCGCAGAGGCTGGCAGCGAGCTGTGTTTAGGCTTAGCTTTGTGTACGAACACTTTGATACAACCGTTGAAGTCCGCGCTCACAAGCACGTGACCCGTCTGGGAGGAGGACACCATCCCACCCTCCGCACCCTTCTGTAATAGAAAAAGTATTTAGTTATTTTGTTACTTAATCCATCTAATTTAAACTCTGCACAGACGTTGCCCGAAGAAACTATTCCAGTGACATTTCAATAAAAAAATTAGTTGTCATGGGCAAAATCTAATCTAATCTTATATATAAAATTCTCGTGTCACAATGTTAGTTACCATACTCCTCCGAAACGGCTTGACTGATTTTTATGAAATTTCATATGCATATACAGAAGGTCTGAGCATCGGCTACTATCTATTTTACATACCCCTAAGTGATAAAGGTTGTCCACCCCTAACATGTTTATTTTTAGGACAAAATATTTAATTTTTAATAATGTGGCATTGAAAATACATACAACTTCAAAAAATGTATATGGCAAAACAACGTTTGCCGGGTCAGCTAGTAAAATATAAATTGATATGGAATCGAACCCGAGATCTCCTGCGTAGAATCATATGGTCAAATTATGACACAAAGCCAACGAGACATGAATAATAATAACCTACCATAGTTAGTTTAAATTTGTTAAAGTTAAATAAAGTTGTAAATGAACTGACGCACACAAAAAAATAAAAAAACAAAGAATAAAAAGTACCTATTGAAAAAAAAGTTAATTCTAATTTTAGTTACTAAACATTTTCTACTATATCAACCATTTAACTATCAACTTAAACAAAAATATTTTAATTTTTAGTACGCTACTATCACTTATTATTAAAAAATGGGACAACGCTTTGTGTAATCTACAAATTGTCGTTCCGAGTCTGGGTGTTCTTTGTATCCGTTTCATGTATGTTTATAAAGTCCCCCACGACACAAGATGTATTCCTAGTGCGGGAGTTGTCTTTTAAAAGAAACAAGAAAAAAGAAGTCAAATACAGCGTCGAAAAATCGCCTAATTAAACAAATAACCTAATAAAATAAACCGTATTCTAATAAATACTGTAACCATATTTTAAAAAGAAGAATTACTCACCACTTCCTCTTTCTCCTCAGCATCTTTATTCGCCAACTTAGCCTCCTCTTCCCTCTCGTTGATCATCCGGATCATATGATCAGGGTTAGGAGCGAACACCGCGCACGTCACCAACGCATTATGAGCCTTAATACCCTCCCAGAAGTCGTTCCTGTCCCTCCTCACCGACGTGAACTTCGAATAGTCGTGATAAGTCTTCCATATATAAATACATTGGTTCTCTGACCCACTGACTATATATTTTCCATCGTGGGAAAAAGAGGCCTTGATCTGGCTGGAAACGTTTACATAACCTTTATATTTACATGATAAATTTAAATCCCTTAAGTCGTATAACCTTATTCTACTGTCATTGGAGGTGACAAGGATCTTATCGTCGTTAGGCATGGGTTCGATGCCGCTGATCTTCCGTCCGGTGGAGTTCTTTCCCCTGGTGGAGCGGACGTCTATCTGAGTGTGGTACTTCAGCTGGTCGGTGGTGTAGAATATACAGCGGCCATCGTAAGTGCCGACGACTGCGAATTTGCCGTTTTGGCAGAAATTTGCTGCTGTTATTAATTTTGTTTTGCCGTCGACTTCGTTCCATACTGCCACCTGTAATATGAAATAGGGATGTGTAATTTTTATTAAGATTTATGATTATTCGTTCAAAAAAAAAAAAAACAAAAAAAGTGTGTGTGTCGGGTCCGTCGCACGACTGGAGTTTACTCCTTAAGAACGCATACCCTGTGTACGTACAAATTTAGTAATCTGCGCCATCTATGTAAATGTTAGTAAAATAATCAGAAGTCACGTATTAATTGCCATTCATTTTGAGGTTTGGTCCGTTTTAAAACAATTTTAATTTTGTAGTGGACTACTCAATACAAACTGAAACAAATTGCAATTATAGAACCAATAAAAATGTCATAAAAATATTATTAAAACCACGTAAAAATAAATAGTTGAACCGCCATCTATAAAATACATTTAGAACTAAAAAAACGTAAAGAGGTCATTCGATCACTAAATTTTACTCGACAATTTTTTTTTTTTACGAGCGCCTTATTTGAAAATCGATTCTTAAGGAGTAAACTCCAATAAAACTTAGAAAATGTCGTTTTACTCACTTTTTTATCAGGTATATTCCACAATCGCAACTTTCCATCCAAACTTCCAGATAAGAAGTAACGATCATCTCTTGGATGAAAAACTATAGCCGTTACAAAATCTATGTGCTGGAAACAGCAAAGACACTCCCCTCTCGAAATATGCCATAACCTGACGGTCTTGTCCATCGAACTTGATAATATGAAGTAGTTCTTTGACCAGGAGACGTCCAGAAGATCGGAGGTATGACCCGAGTACACACAGAAAGGCTTCGGACAGAAGGGAGCAGAAGGCCCTAGAGGGGGTTGGTCTTCTGGACTCGGAGGAGGTGCGGAAAGAGATGCTAAAGATTCTTGTGATGGAGTCGGTGATGATTTCTGTTCGGCGTTGTATTTCGTTCGCATATCCTGTAAATATAATTAGAGTTTAGTTTGATTGAGAAAGCTTTGTTGATTAGGAGTCTTAGTCTGGTATGGCCGGCTCGACCGGAGTGATACCATGGCCTCACAGAAAACCGGTGTTAAGCAATTCTTTTGTTGCCTTGCACTGAGTGAGTGAGGTTACCGGAACCCAAATCCCCCCTCCCGCTTACTCGAGCGGGAGGGACTCCAAGGGCAACAACGCACTTGTGACTTGTGAGTTGCAGGTGTCAATGGGCGGCGGTAGTTGCTTACCATTAGGTGACCTGTCTGCTCGTTTGCACTCTCATACCATAAAAAAATGAGTAAAATATGTTATTTAACAGTCAACATGAAATTACGTAAATAATTATCAAATCAAAAAAAGTAAATTATTTCACAATGGCAACGTATGACGTCACACGTTGTTACGCCGGACAAATTTATAGGTACTGAATCCACCATTTTAATTTTTAATGATAGGAAATCTAATTTGACTTGACAAACAACTACCGGAGTAAATAAAAGCTAGGTTTTGTAGTTTGCAAGTATTATACATAACACAAACTATTTCAATAAAAATAAAACTTTAGAATGTTAGAAACTTAGATACTAACACACACGGCAGTACCCTAGATTATTTTCGTCTCACGTATTAAAATTGTAATTGTGAAATAACCTGGAACATGTGATAAGCATCCCTGGTGACCCAGACCCTCAGCAGCTTGTCCTGGCCAGCAGTGGCGAGCAGGCGCCCGCACACGCTGAACTTGCAGCACCACACCGCGCCGCAGTGGCCTGAACCCATCTCCTACGACAACGTATACATACTTCAAATAATCTATACAAATAAATAAAATTGGAGTGTCTGTTTGTAATATTAAAATAACCACTTTTTACTAAATGCATATGTATGTTTACACGGTACATATGCCAAAATAACATTTTTACAATTTTTGTCTGTCTGTCTGTCTTTTTGTTCCGGGTAATCTCTGGAACGGCTGGACGGATTTCCACGGGACTTTCACTGGCAGATAGCTGATGACACAGGGAGTAACTGAGGCTACTTTTTTTAGACGAGCTTCGCCCCGCGGCGTTGCCCGCGGTTATAACAACAAACGCGGATAACACCGCGGGTCTCAGCTAGTAATACCTATAATTAGAACTAGTTAACACAGAAAAGAACTAGGCAAAGCCCACTCCGCTATACTATAGTGCTACAAGTCCTCATATCCTTGTAGCTTAACCTATACAAATAAATAAAATTGAAGTGTCTGTTCATAATATTAAAAAAGTAGGTTTATTCCATACTCATACGGTAATTTTCACGATACCTATGCCTAAAAACAGCTTTTTTTTTGTCTGTTTGTTCCGGGTTATCTTCTAAACGGCTGGACCGATTTTGATAATATTTTACTACCAGGCAGCTGTATCTATTAGGAGTAACTCAGGGTTTTTTCCTCTCAGAAAAACCCTATAAAATTTTGCGTGGTCCGGGAATCGAAACCACTAAGGCAGCGCTTTTCAAATTCCACGCGAACGGTCGCGGGTACCATCTAGTACTAACTATAAAGCTACAAGTACCCATGTTATACATGATATTTATAAGGCCTTATCGCCTATCGGCCCAATCGGTCGCATTTTTGCGACCAGGCCGCCATCCTATCTCCAATCGCAGCAATTACTTTGCTACCAGAGGTCCCCATTCTCTGGCAGCCTGCAATTCCTGTCACCAGTGATTGTCGGTGAGCGCTCCGCTGCATTTTGAGCTCGTCCTGGTCTTCCCAGCTCTCACCCCGGCGTATCGCGCGAATCTGGTCATAGACCCTTCCATCCGGCCGACCTTGACCTGTTTTTTTTTTATGTGGGCGTATGTGTGCATGTGTGGCAAGTAGGGCGATTCCGTCTTATGAGGTGCAACCCTTAGACCCAGACCGCTGATCTTTCGGAAGACACAAGACACCCTTAACTCGGCGAGCTCCAGGACCTCCTGGAAGCCAGTACCTAGACGACAACACTCAATCCCGGGGGAAGACTGGTCCTTAGGACCACATCATAGGTTCCACAGGAGGTACCACAGAAGGGGTCCTAAGACCGATCCTTGTGAACGGCAATAACTCTTTCAAAGAGTTTCGCCGCCTCGTCCTGCAGGCATATCGTGATTTAAGTTGCTCTGCAAAACTTTCTGGGGAGGCGTGAATTTTTGGCCTCCATTGCCTCCTCTGACGGACGGGTATCCGGCTAGGACTGTCTGTCTCTGGCTGCCGTCAGTACTCGCCAAGGCTGGAGTGGGGGCGGCCTTTAGCCCTCTTTACTTTTTCTTGGAATCGAACCCTCATGGACTGCAGTCGCGTACCGTGGTAAACCACTAAGGCAGCGCTTTTCAAATTCCAAGCGAACGAAGTCGCGGGTACCATCTACTATTATTTATAATTTAACATCAATAAACTTGCCTGTACATGTCTAACACAACCATCAAAATCGTAAGGTCCTTTGTGTGAGTTCGACGCTTTCAGTTTTATATTGTGTTCGCCCCTGACGTCGTCCGCGATGTCCGCCACGTCCTCCTTATGCCTCGCGTGGGACACTTCCTGAGCTAAAGATTTAGCCGCGTCGACGGTTTTCTTCACCGTACTCCCGAAAAAACGCTTCAACCTGTCGATAAAAAAGACTTAGATTAGGTATGCACTAATTTATGAGATAAAAATCTAGCCCTGTTGTTATTATTGCGCCATCTAACGAAGACATTGCGAACTACGGAGTAACTAATCTTGCATCGCGCAATGAAAATTCTCGTGCCAATTAGTATGCAGAGCCAGGCTCGATCGCCTCGCCTTGTTTAAGGATCCTCTCTTTATGTGGGAGGACCCGCTTAACGCCTCCTAACCCTTGAAATTATTTGAAAGAATCGCATTCATACAATTCGACAAGCCTTGAAAATGTGTAGACGTTTACAAACCACGATCTCTTTTTATCCGACTGCGCCAGGAGGGTTACCTTTTTCGAGTGTGTGTATGAATATATGTATGCATACATAACTGAAACATAACATACGAGTAGTACCGTCATAACGCTGTCTACTTAGATACATATTTGTATGTGTATGTTTATGTATTTGTATGTGAATACTTGGGACCTCTATTTATATATGTAGTAATGAATGGAATATTCTATTTAAGTATATTATATCTAAGTTAGGTTAATCTTAAATGAATAAATTTAATATTAATAAAGTCAAATTTTCTGTTTTCTCTTGCACTTAAAGCATCATTTTTCTGCATTACCCGGACTCGGTCAACTGGCACAGAATGCCCTAGGCATTAAATACGCCTGTGTACATTAAGTTATTATAAATAAATCAATAAAACATAGTTGAAAAAACCCTCGTTCAAGCGAAGTCGGATAAAAAAAAAAGTACTTGATCCCCTTTGAACTCACCTGTCAGTCTTTCTCTTAATACCAGTAGTCTGTCTGTCTGTGGACTCTCTCTTCATCTCCTTGATCTCATCTTCGGCGCCGCCTGCGCAGACGCTCTCGCTTTCTTCATCCGTTTCCCTACAACAGATCAAATAAAATGTAAAACATTTTATGCCAACTGTTAGTTTTATTTTAAATATACCCACCAAATGCCAAAACTAATTAATTACTCAAATAACTGTGTTATATACATATAAGTATATTTATTGATTTATTGTACACACAGAATTAAGCATAAACAACTTTATTATTATATACCATATGGTTGAAAATACATAATTATTATAAGCGCATCTACGTAATAAAGCAGAAGAGTTTCTCTTTAATTATTCTTTAAAACCGTAGTTTTAAAGAATAATTAATTATTATTCGAATAATTAATAATTAATCGATTCGTAAATCAGAATAAATTTATTTTTTGTACTGCATAGAGTATTTATTGACGTAGGTTATAGACAACGATATATCAGGCTTGGACCTCTATGTGCGGTACAGTTTTGGAAAAAAATGCGTACATATTTGATTTTATTATATCATCAGAGGAATCTTAAAGAAAATACGACATACGACATATTCTTTTGCCAGGATATTATGTCACTTATCTTGCTTTCTTAAAGAAACAATAATATTTTCGGGCATCTGATACACAACGCCATCTAGTTTCAAACTAAGCAGAGCTTGTACTATGAAAGCTAGATTGACTGATAGAATACTACTATACTTTTTTTTGTACACATACACATAGAAAACACCCAAACTCAGAAACAAATATTTGCTGATCACACATACACTGCACCACCGAGGCAGATGATCAGGACTGTATCCTTTATGGATGCCTGACCAGTTTCCAAACTGACGGTGGCCCTGTTTCAAGGAGCGAAACGTCCTGACTTGATTCATTTATGCTTCTGACTATATTACAAGAGTTACCTATTATTTTATTATACTTCTGAAATCAATTCAATAAGAAGAGAAGTTAGTGTGGCGACTCCCACATATAAAGAAACAGAAATATACTACAGCGCCATCTAACGAAGACACACCGAACTACGGAGTAACTCCTGAATGAGAATTGTTAATCCTGTATCGCGATATAAAGAATTCTCTCGTCGATTAGCATATATACTACTTCTCATGATCACCTCGCCTAGTCGGATGATCCTCCCTTTGTTTTGGAGGGACGTGACACCCGTTCCTCACCAATAGTATCACTGCCTGCTATCACTATGCTAAATTTGTATTGGAATTTTGTATGTATGGTACGAGTATATTTAAATTATAGTTCATTCGCGGCAAAAAAATAGTGACGCATCGTTGTCCACTGACGTTGTTATAAAAAAATATAAAGTAAAGTTCATATTGACTGGCTGTCTGCAGACTTATGTACAAAATGATTACATTCTTTGAGCGTTACAGTAAATAAAAAAAAAACGAGTGTGCTTTAGACCACACGACTGAAGTAAAACTTCTTGGCCATGAGAGAAAGAGAGAAAGAAAATGTGTGTTCGCACCTCTCTCTTTTTCTATCTTTACTAACATATATCTCCCTCTCAACGAAAGCAAACGGAATCGCCCGATCCCACTTTTCGTAACGCTCTCGTCACGCATTCACCAGCTTTCTCTCCAAGTCAAGCGTGCGTAAAGAAGTTTTACTTAAAAAAACGGTATTCTCGCTTGTTCGTAATAATAAAAGTGTTTCAACAATTCGTAGTGAGGAAAGACGAGTAATTTGTAATGTTTTTAACTACTTTAAACTGAGTGACTTAGATGTTGGAGAGTCATATAAATGGCAATTGCTTGCAGCGTGTTAGATACTGTTTATAAAATTGTTAAGGAACAAAAGAAATTTATACAGTAAAATTGCCTGCGAAAAAAAGAGTTCGACTATCAACGATTAATAAATTATATAAAAGTTCATTCAAAGAACCATAATGTTTATTAAAACAAACTGTTATTCACAGATGGTCCGCAGATGTTATTATGCTTTTATTTTATTAACAACAAACTAAACAACAAAATAACGTTCATACACAGGTAGATAAACTTAAATCTATAAAAATGGATATTGTTGTACAAATGTAAATTATTTAAATTTCTAGTCTACTCTGAATACACCTTTATCCCGATGCGTCACTATTTTCTTAACGCGAATGGGCTGTAATATTGTTTTATTAATTTAAAAGCCAAATACTGGCTACAAAAACCAAAAAAAAAGCTACCATGTATTCTAAAGTGGTTAATCACATATAATATAAACAGTATTATGCAATGCTATTCAGTTAGTCTCTCTATTAAGGCTCGTGCTGCGTGATACAGTTCGACTTCGGTCGCAAAGACTTGGATTTGATCATTTCTACGCAACACGTTTTTATTAAGAGCATGTTAAATCGGCAAAACAAATAGTTATGAGTTTAATTACGAAGCAGTAATGTACGGTAGTCAATTAAAAATTAAAGAGGAATTCCATTCCCCACACAAATGATTAATTGGACGTTAATCATATGCTAAAAAAGCGACAATGTATTCAAAATATTTCAAAAGACAGAGACGGAGGCATCACAACTCACGTGGCAGAGCGAGACGAAGAAGTCTTATAGTCTTTCAGCCTGTCAACAAGTGATCAGTTTAGAAAAGTAGTACATTAAAAAAGCGGGTAGTTGCCTGCTCTTACACACAAACGTTTTGAAATCGGTCGGGTGTGCACGCGGTGTCATAAACCAAAATCAAGGCAAAATTTCGTTTGTTTCGAAAGCGCGTGGTGTCGCAGTGCTGTGTATCATTATGTGTTATTATTATTGGCTAGTTGTGTAGTGGACTAGAAAAGACAGTCGTGACCAGTGGTTACGGATCCTGGTTACGGAAATACGGTATTGGGACTACACTGGTAACGTAGTTTACCAATATATTATATACAACACATTTAGATAGGGAACATTTACACATCACAGGGTACCAAATAGAAGACGGCTCAGCCTCATTGGTAAGTGGCTAATTATTCTCTTGTACAGTTCCGCGCTTCTTAAGTGCACAAGATCAACGCATGGAGTTTGGGCTCATTGGTTTTCTCTATCTGATAATATATATGTATATATATCTATTTCGTCTATTTTAGTTTTCGGGAGTGTTTCCCTAACACCCTGTATATTGACTAGATAAATATTAATTACGCCCAAAGCCCTAAAAAGACCATGATATAGACACTGATAGATACTGATCGCTGGTACTGGCCCACACCATCGATTTTTTCGAGCGAAACGCTTTTAATTTTAAATACATACATATTATAGATAAATTACATCCAGACACAGAAAAAATGACCGTGCTCATCACACAATATTTGTCATGAGTGGGAATCGAACCCACTACCTCCGGCGTAGCAGTCACTAACTACTAGACCAATAGGCTCGTCGTACATACTTAGACATTCTTTACCTGTCAATTATAAATGCAGAGAAAAAAAGGCATTGCCGTATTTCTCAAAGAGTGTACACATCCTAACGTGCAAGATTTATTCATTTTGAAAAATAGTTTAAAGGTAATAATAATAATAATAATCTACCACATTCACACAACGCCATCTAGTCCCAAACTAAGCAGAGCTTGTACTATGGGTGGTACTAGACAACTGATATAAATACATATATACTTTTTTTTTTGTAAATACATACATATTATACATAGAAACACCCAAACCAAATCAAACATTAAATGTTCATGCACACAAACGTTTGACTTGAGCGGGAATCGAACCCGCGACCTTTGGAATAGCAGTCCGTTACACAAACCACCACGCCATCCAGTCGTAATAAAGAAATCTGTAAAAATTGTATACTGCACAATTTTTCACAGTGTACATTCCACCATACAAACCCTCACTTCACGCAAAACTTTGCGATGCGAGCATCTTGTAGAAATAAGTGATGATTTAATTAAATATGCGTGAGACTATGGTGGCCAATTATGGTTTTTTTATTGACTCACTATCAGAAATGAGCCTGATGATCAGACCAGTAGTAATTTCCAACCTCAGAACAGCAAGATTTTTTTTTATCTGTAAAAAATGTACAAATACTAACTGACACCGTAGAGTATTCTTACATTTATTACATTTTTTTGACGTATCATTATTGAGTCTATCTTGTCAGGTAAGTTTGTAAATATGCATTTGGTTATGAGAATTCCCAAAATGATAATTAAAAAAATTCATTATCTTTGACTCACAACAAAAAAGTATTTTTTCAGTACCGGTTTTTTTTTTATTTTTTATCTTTATTGTTTACAGTTAACACATAAAATACTTACAAATATATAGACGTAACGATCTCTTACAGACTACCTTAATACGGATATTAGACATTTAAAAATTTGGGTAGTCAGAATACACGTAACGCATTATGACGTGAATATTTAAAAATACCAACAAAAGCATTCATACACAAATAAACATTTGTTCACATTACACATAGATAAATACACATACATACATACATAAACATAATAAATAAATTAATATATATATCTATGTATATACATACACAACAAATATATACATACAGTCCAAAATATATACTATATATATAATTAAATCAACAGTATTTAGAATGACAAATAAAAATCCTTCACTAGTTTTGGCTTGTCGGATTGTCAAAGGCAAGTTGTTCCAAAGTCTTACTGCTTGCACAGTAAAACATTTGTCTGCAAACTGGGTGGAATGTGGTGGCATAATTAGTTTTAAATTCTCCGATGACCTCAGGTCCTTGCAATGTGTGTTGTGTAAGAACTGAAGACATTCTTTGAGATAAGAGGGTGTGTGGGGATGAAACAAACACTGTATAAAAGAGAAAGAACATTGAAATTCCAGCGAAAGCGTATTGGTAGCCACTTGAGTTTAGAACGATACTCTGAGATGTGATCATATTTGCGTAATCCAAATATGAATCTAATACATGTTTTATTTGCTTGATAAAGCTTTATTAAAAGCTCTTAAAATTTTAACAATAATAACACCATGTTATCTTAAAAAACACAAGCTTCTGAAATGAAAACTTTAATTACCGACAAGAATCCCAATTTCTTTTTTTTTTTTTATTCTGAAAAGACAACTCCCGCATTAGGAACATATATCCTGTGTCGCGGGGGACTTTACAAACATACATGAAACGGACACAAAGAACACCCAGACTCAGAACAACAATTTGTGAATCACACAAAGTGTCGTCCCATGTGGGGTTTGAACCCACAACACTCGGCGTAGTAGGAAGCGGCGTGGCCACCGCTTAAACCACTCCGCCATCCGTGCAGTCGATTCAGTAATTGTATAAAAGGACAAAGTAACCCGCTACGACCTTAAAATTACTAAATTGATCTATACTCTAAGCGAGAATTTGTTTTGGATTAGCACATGACAGATCTTAAAGAAAAAACCGGTCAGGTACGAGTCGAACTCGTGCGCTGAGAGTTCCGTACCTACCCAGATTTTACGTAGATTTTCGCGAAAATTTGTCAGTACCAAAATTTACCTTAATTTTCAACTTTTTTTTTTGGAATTATTCCTTTATTTGTGCCGTAAGTCTCTTTGCCAAATTTCGTGATTCTAGGTCAACGGAAACTACCATATAGGTTTTCTACCCAAAACCTATAGGGTACTTCCGGTTGACCTAGAATTGTCAATTTTGGTTAAAAGCGAGGTCTTATAGCACAAGTAAAGAGAAAATTCAGAAAAATAAAAAAAGTTTAAAATTATATTTAAATTTTGGTACTTACAAGTTTTCGCGAAAATCGAAATTTGCCCATATCTTTTTATCGTGTTCACTCAGGACCTTGATTTTTATACACCTAATAGGGACCATAGACCTTAGTATCTGGTATGAATTTCAACTTGCTAGGTCTACCCGTTCCTGAGAAAATTGGTGGTGACACACGGACAGACGGACAAGAAAGTGATCTTATAAGGGTTCCTTTTTACCTTTTGAGGTACGGAACCCTAAAAATAATAAAAGGCAAAGCGGATGCGGATATTACCTGACGTTGTCGTCGTCGTTGGGGCGGCCGATGTACTCGGAGGTGAGCCTCATGATGTGCAGGCTGAGCGGGTTGATGCACTGGGGCAGCTTGTGCTCGGCCACGCTCAGCGGGACACGTTCGCCTACAAAATATTCACATGTAACACTAGCTGACGTCCGCTGACGGTATGGATTTTGTCGAATCATAATTTTGTGTGGTGGTGGTGACGGATTGAGAATACAGAGTGTCACCACCCCTGTTCATCCCGTGGGTGTCGTATGAGCCGACTAAGGAAAAACAACAGCACTGCACAGAGAAGGAAAACTTGACACAAACCCTATCCGTCCGACCAGGGTATAGTAGGCCAAAACCTCCTTTCTAAGGAGAGGCCTATGTGCAGCAGTGGACTATTAAAGGCTGTTAATGTGATAATTTTATAGTTATCGACATAACTTGACCGTCAGATGCGACTATTCGGCTTGTTTTTTCTTTTATTTTAATGATTTTATTCGTTGACGTTGTGTATATTGATTTATAATTTTTGATTATTTTTTAATTAATATGTTATCATCATCATCAACAGGCTATAACAGTCCACTACTGGACATAGGCCTCTCCTTAGAAAGGAGGTTTTGGCCTATTATACCACGCTGGCCAGACGGGTAGGTATAGGGTTTGTTTCAAGTTTCCCTTCTCTTCTTAATAAAACAAAGATATTGAATTGAAATATGCACTTAGTCAAACCCACAACCCCTTAGTTACATTCGAATACTCTATCGCACGGTATAGGACGTCACAAATTAAAAAAAAAAAAAAAAAAAAAAAATAGTTGTCATTGTGTCACAACTACACCAACCTGTGTCGAGGTTGAGCACCGTGACCTGCTCCAGTATCTCGATATCGGTGAGTTGGTTCCCGGAGGTTGTGCGGGTTCTAAGCGAGATGCCGAGTTGCTGCTCGTCGCCAGCTGATCGACGACGGGACCCGCCCATACCGTCAGAGTTACTTCGTCTACAACAACATATCCACTCGATAAGATGACTAAGGAATTGGTGCTCAATAGTGTGGCAACATTACATAGTTGAAGTAGTGCCATCTATTGATAATTAGTTGAACTACTTTCAATATTCTGCATTGCGCTATAAAAGTTTACGAAGATGGTTCATTCTCAACTTTTGGGATGTTATGCATCAAATGGTTTGTGATGATTTAATTTTGTAGTATGGTTACGAATTTGTTTAATAATTAATATTAATGAATTTGGTTAGTTATTATGGTATCATTTAGTTAGCAACATTTTATATATTTTTTAAATCTTTATAAGGATAAAACGAATACTTTTTTTATTTCTGAAGCTTTGAAATTAAAAGAAATTAAGCGATTTCGATTGACGAAGCGATAAATCAAGTTTTAGTTTTGAGTTTTTTAAATGTTTTGAATAATATTATATCAAAATTTTGTTTATGGTATGGTTTTGATAAGTTTTTATCAGAATTACTAGTTTAATTTACAGGAAAGTTACTATAATCTATCTTATCTAAGAGGTAACGTTTGACAGTTTTGACAGATTGATGTATAGCGATGGGGTCAAAGAAATCGATTACTAAAATACCTTATTCTTAAGAGATTTCGATAAAATTTCTTAGTATGTACTAATCGATTACAGTTTTACAGATTTATGTTACTATAAAAGCCCGTGTAATGGCACATCATAAGGTTTACTAATAAATCTTAGCATACACACATAAGGTACACAAGGTAGATACACAAGTGGGGCGATCGGGGCGAGTGGGGCGAGCGGGGTGAGCGGGGAGAGGGGCGGGCGGGGCTCCGTGCGTACCTGGCGCTGTGCGTGCGCGCGGCGGGCTGAGCGCGGCCCTCGCTGTGCGTGCGCACGCCGCGCTCGTCCTCCACGCGCGCGACGTAATCGCCTGCAAATTCATACAACACTCTTTACACTTGACCAAACATAACCCGGTCGTAACGACGAGATCGAACGTTACTTTTGATGTCGAGCGAGTGGGGCGCGGTGCGGGGGGTGCGGGGCGCGCGGGGCAGGGCGCCGCCCGACTGCGCCGTGCTGCTGCGGGACGACTCGCTCGCGCGCTCCGACGAGCGGGACTCGTGGATGCTCAGGGACGACCGGTCGCTGGCTGTACGCATTATTATACATATAATAGACGACCATAAATGTTCATAACACAAATAATTCAAATACAAATAATTCTTACCGTATTTCGATTGTGACAGCTCCAGTGAGTCTTGGAACTCTCTGGTGAGAGACTCTATGGTGCTCGCAGGGCTCGGCAGCGCCATAGACTGGTTCATAGTGCTCGTGGAGTTTGGCTGTAATAATAATAGTAATAATTTCACAAATCTCACACACGGATGTCTGGACAGAGACTGCAATGGTAACCGACCTGCTGATAAACATACTTATATATTTCTAAATACATACATAGATAAATTAAACCTCGATAAAGAACAAATGATCGGTGCTCAATTTTTGACACAATATTTGTCTTGGCTGGGCATCGAACCCACGCCCTACGACTTAGCCGTCAAGGTTACTAACTACCAGACCAGGCAAGTTAATACAATTAACAAATACACTACCAGATTTACAAGTATAATAAGGTAGATCACGGTCAAGTCAAATTGGTATCCTTTTATTAAAACGTAAAAACTATAGACGCGGTATAAAATACTATGGCGTGACGTCATACCTAGCTATTGCCAAACCATTTTACCTGATGGTAAGTGACTGCCGTCCCCGTTAACCCCCCCACCCCCAGAATCAGGGGAGGAGAAATAATTAAATAACACCGGTTTTTATGTAAATAAACAAATGTAATACTAACCTCTATTACGTCATTATCGAGGTGTGAATGAAGCGGCCTGGGTACGTATCTGTACTCGTCCGTGTCGGTGGTACAGACGCTAATGTTGTCACCGTCCACCGTAGAAAGAGAAGTCGAACTGTGCAACTTGTCTGTAAAACAATGCAATTCAGCTATTTGTGACATCTTTCCTCTAACTTCGATTGAGAAGGGACGGAAGTGTGTAACAGGCCGGAAAGCGTGGGTTATTTGATTTAACCAATGAGCGCTCGCGAATAGGCTGTGATACGTCAGATATTGCACATATGTTTTTTTTTCATATAACCACAGACAATATATATATTAATATAGGTATAAATAAATTAAAAATAAGTGAAAATTATTATTTAATGTCAAGTGTTAGTATACGTATCGCTGTTATATTTAGTTGAATTGTATGAGAATTACATATAATTAAACATATAACATTAATCACAACATTAATTTATTCCATGCAAATTATTAAAGCACATGATTTAAATTTGATGGTATGCTAAAATATTCTAAATAGGTAAAGGCAACATTTTAACCATTTGTTTAAATTATTCAGATCAAAACGATTTATTATAATTTTCATTAAAGATTTCAACTGTGTGTATTTGGATGGTGATGACAAAATCCATCAATTTAGTCGCAATATTACCTAACTTGTCTATAAAGCGGGGATTTTCACAGCGGTCGATATCGATCTCTTGGGGTCGAAATCTGTATCCAAGGGGTCGACAAAAACGAAATCTAATTTTGGGGGCTGACAAGGCCAAAAAAAATATTTTAAACTTTCAAGCTATTGTATTAGTTGTTACGTGTACAACTTGTTATAAGAATGACTAATATTTTAGTAGGAATTATCATTGTTGTACTTTTTAAAACTCAACAAGTCGATAAGCGTGCAGTAATTTGGCTAATAGGGTGTAGGGTCAGTTCGTTTTAGAAAAGGGGTCTCTTGCCAAAAATAGTTTGGGAATCCCTGCTCTAAAGTATTCGGTTGACGGTAAAAGAGTTTGGCCCCTATTACGAGTGAGATTTTTTTGTACTGAAATGTTTTGTTTTTACATACATCGAGTAGTAAAAGTGTGTGTAAAATACATGTATAAAAATTATATAATAGCAAATGATAATGATAGTGAAAGGAAAACTATCAGAAAAATAAAAGTAATTTAATTAGAAGGTGGAACATTTTTAGCTGTTTTCAGCTCTCTAGTTAGTTGTTCGTGTGGTGACGGATTAAGAATACAGAGTGTCACCACTACTATTCATCCCGCGGGTGTCGTAAAAGCTGACTTAGGGAGGAAACTACGCAGAACAACTGTACTGCAAAGAGAAAGAAAACTTAAAACAAACCCTAGACCAACCCGCCTGACGAGCGTGGTAGTATAGTAGGCCAAAACCTCCTTTCTAAGGAGAGACCTATGTCCAGCAGCGGACTATTAGAGACCGTTGATGGTGATGAAGGGTTAAGAAAATTGTTTCTACTAAACTCTACTGACGTGAATCCATCCCCTCCTAATCGAACCTTATCATTCATTTCCACGCCACCCTACTGGTGGTAAAGAATGCCTATGACATTACGCCATTGTACATTTTGTGCATAAAGTTAAAAAAAAAATAATGTAAAGTAGGATGCTCTATGTATTAAACCACTCGTATTTGTTTAAGAAGAACAGGAAAAAAACTCATATATGCCCCAGATCTAGTAAAACAGTAACAACATTTTGTCTTCTATGTTCAAGGACCCAAAGCTTTTTTAAGCCCGTAGTATTATAAGAAAATATTTTTTTTTTTTGGGATTATGGGAATATAATAATTTTTACAATGATGATATTAAGTGTTGAAAGATAGAAAGATTATTTATTTCGGAACTAAGAAAATAAAGTTAAAAAAGACAGAAATTCTAGTTTTCTAAATTTGCAACTATATGAAAAGATTTCGGGATAAACACATAAATATTTTATTTTAAACTGATATGGCTCCAGAGTTAAGCCCTGTGGTACTCCCAACTTTATCATAACCGTTTTTCTAAAAGTAATCAACATACAGTAGATATAAAGACCTGATTACATAAAAAGTAATATAATAATACAATTATGGAATTCTCGTAATTTATAATGTAATAATAAATCTTTATTACATTGATGATATTTTATCAACACATTATGATCAACACAATTGAAGGCTTTGGACGGGTTTGAAGAGGGGGCAACGAGCAGACGGGTCATCTGATGGAGAGTTACCACCGCCGCCCGTGAACGCCTGAAACTCAGAAGTCACCAACGCGTTGCCGGCCTTTGAGGAAGGAATACGCACCTAAGGGAGCTAGCCCTTATATAATTTACTAGAAACTTAACTCGTACTGAGAAAGTAGTGCTATATCTGAAGTCAGTGAAGTCGGGTATTGTGACCATACTCACTTCTTTTCTTCCTGCGAGGAGGTGCAACGGGCTGCGGGTGCGGCGCGGGGTCTGGGCGCGGCTCTGCGCACAGCGCCACGATGGCGCCGCCGCGCTGTACCTTCAGACTGTTGGCCTTGGTGCTAGCGATCACGTCCGGCTCCATGCTGCCCAGCACTGTCAAACACGCACATTCTACTAGCGTCTCTAGCCACCTCCGTAACCTTAGCTTGTCGATTGAACGTCACCGTTAGTGGAATGCCCCGTCCCGCCATCGAAACAAGCTAACAAAATTCACGGAGTCGCCGTATAGCAACTCTCGAATCAAAGGTGAACTGTAAACTTAAAAGCACTTCTATCTTACAGCAGAGATTCACAGCATATTAGTATTTTGTCTAGTATGTTGGATACAGCAGAGCTTCAAATAATAGGCTTAGCCACGGGTGAGCAACACCGCAGTCGGCAAATGTAAATATTCGTTTTACTTTAACAGTAAATTGCTATCTTTTTGTATCTCGACCATAAAAAAATATAAAACTTTACTGATTTAATTATATTTTAGTCAACCAAACAAACAATGTACAACCTATACCTATTTTCTGCTAACGAATTTCAAGAATTATTGAACAATTTTATAAAATAAAAATATTAAATTTCCTTCGGTGAAATAATAAATAAGTTGTCCATGACTAATCGTATAAGGTACGTATCGAGGGCTGGGTTCACGTCTGCAGTATGTTCGTAACACGCAACGAACTTTTAGTAAATGCCTGGACGAAATGGGTGACAGAAAAGGGCGGTCCTAAGGAGGTCGGGTAAAAAAAGATCTTTAGGAGAAAAACTATTCTGGTCAAATTACCGATCCATTGTTTACGTTAATAAATTTACAAGAAAAAAAAAGCATTGTTTATCCTTACATCGTATTATGACAAACGAAAAAGTCTGCAGGAGAATATGTCACCATAGATTATAATACAGTGTTGCCAACAATTAATTACAGATTGCTTAAAATGGTAATTTTGGGTAGATATATATTATGATATGCAATAGTTTACGGAGATATGTTTAGATGATATTTTAAACTGAAATTAACTTTATATATAGTTTTTTTTATGTAATAGAGGGAAACGGGGAGACAGGTCATTCGATGGTAAGTGATTACCTCCGCCCATAGACACCTGCAACTTAAAACTACTTATCCCGCCCTCCTTCTCCCATAATTAGGGTAAAGGGGGGTGATGGGGGGGGGGGGGTGTTTTCCAAAGCAACTGTAAATTTAGACAACCGGTTTAGATCTTAGAAAACAGTACTTTTGTTTGAAGATGTAGAGTACCCGTAGTATGGGGGTACAGAGAGCACCCCTGATAGTGTGTTGGCAATATTACATCACGATCGGTTGAGTAATTAATGAGTGAATGCGTAGCAAACAAACAAACAACCACCTTGAAGACAATGAAGATGTTCTGCATCGATATATTATTGTGTTAGTTCAGTTAGTCATAATGATATGTGTCTAACACATTGTGTGATCAAATCTAAGGAACTTAATTTATAATCTAGTGATAATTCAAAATGTATTAATTTAAAATTTCTAGATACAGTAGGACTTTAGTTTAAAGCGTACAAACGAACAAACAGATAGATTACTAGTATAAATAATTTAATTACCAGTCTGATTCCTGTTGTCTGCACTCAATTGTTCATCAGATATGTTGGAGGGCTCTCTCGAAGAAACAGAAGCTACCGGGGCGGTATCACGAATGTTTGCTGCGAAGGAACAAACCCTTAAATTTGTTTCATAATCGGCATAATTAACCTTAAGGTACAGTCTTAGCATAAAAAATAGCACGTAATTAGTTTACTCGTAAATTCCATTTAATTATTTTTTTTATAAAACCGACATTAAATCAAACATTTACATATTTTTCTTTACATTTATTTACATAAAAATAATACACGATGAATAATTTTATTGTTTTTGTTTTGTTAATTTTAATTACTGTTATTATTAGGATTTGAAATTTGACGTAAAGAAACTTAGAATCCCTTGTCACCACGGAGCCAATACAAAGAAGATATGACGACCGAATGGCGTAGTGGTTTGTGTAACGGACTGCTATTCCAAAGGTCGCGGGTTCGATTCCCGCTCAAGTCAAACATTTGATTGCATGAACATTTAATGTTTAATTTGGTCTGGGTGTTTCTATGTATAAAATGTATTTACAAACAAAAAAAGTATATATGCATTTATATCAGTTGTCTAGTACCCATAGTACAAGCTCTGCTTAGTTTGGGACTAGATGGCGTTGTGTGAATGTGGTACAATATTATTATTATTATTTTATGCTTATTTATTCTTTGTTTATCTGTATTTATGTTTACGGCTTATCTTTTTGTCCTATTGCCACCCCACTACGGAGAAAAAGAGTGTTATGATTTTCACTCATAGTTAAGTATACTTAATATCCCCTCACCCCGCAAATTATCACGCGTTGTTTCATAGGAAAATCTAATTAGAACACTTCCTCTTAGTATTTGCTCCGTGCTTGTCACACAATGCCAGTAATTTGAGGCTGGCCAGGGCCGGCCGCCTTAGGCAGCCACGCCATTGCGTGCAAGACCCTCCTTGACTGGTTTAGAGAGGTGCGTGGAACACTTCATGTCACCGTCGCAGTGCTACTTCTGCTAGAGTAACGGTTACCCTTACCGATATCCGTCATATTTTTTTATGGTATAAGGGGGCAAACGAGCAGACGGGTCACCTGATGGTAAGCAACTACCGCCGCCCATGGACACCTGCAACTCAAATGTCACAGGTGCGTTGCTGCCCTTGGAGTCCCTCCCGCTCGAGTCAGCGGAAGGGTGGATTTGGGCTCCGGTAACCTTACTCACTCAGTGAAAGGCAACGAAAGAACTGCTTAACACCGGTACTCTGTGAGGCCGTGGTATCACTCCGGTCGAGCCGGCCCATTCCTGCCGAAGCATGGCTCACGGTAAATATAGGAATACGCTCATGGAGGTTGCAGACCATTTGAGTTCTCCGGTGCTCGGAGCCACGTCTTCGGAACGGCCTATCCGCCGATTCTTTAGCGGACATCCTCAAAAAAGGCGGTTGCCACTGATATCCCCTGAACTTTAACAACACAGGAACAGTCTAATTTATACACACCTTTAATTTCATATTGATGAATCGACGACACATTCCGAAATAAATTTTCACACTCGTAACACATATTAATATTTTTTATTTATTTATCTATAGCTGTCATGCTAGACTTATATTTAAATATTACTTCGCTATACGGTAAAACTATTAAGACGGCTTCACATGTTAGTTTGAATAAATTTCAAGTGTGGAGCCGTCTTAAAGAAAAAATATGTATAAAACACATACGATGAGACTCCGCAGCCCCACTGAGGATCCTGCCGATCCTCCCCAGTGACGTCATACTCTGCAAACTCATTGTATCGTGTGCTATTATCCTGAAACAAATAGCATTGTTATACCCGTTTAGTACGTAACTGTGACATAAGAACATTGACCAGTCGTACAAAAAATAAACAACAAGACAGTTTGTTTATGTAACCTACTAACTCTTTTTCTCTTTGTACAAAAGACAACTCCCGCACTAAGAACAAATCCTGTGTCGCGGGGGACTTTACAAACATACATGAAACGGACACAAAGAACACCCAGACTCAGAACAACAATTTGTGGATCATACAAAGTGTCGTCCCGTAGTAGTAAGCGGCGTGGCGACCGCTTAAACCACTACGCCATCCGTGCAGTCTTAACTTATTATGATAAAAGTGTTTTTTTTTTAAACTTCACCTCTAAGGGGTAAAATAAGGGATGAACGGTTGTATTATCTTTGAGACGTCGCGTCACGCGAGCGTAGCCTCGAGCAATGGCCAGTTTCATATAAACGTTGTGATGGTAGAGGTTATAATGGTAGTTTCAGCCCCAAAATAAATAAGGATAAATTTCTGGATATCGTTTTCATATGAACTTACTTGAAAGGATGTTCGAGCGTGAATGTCTGCTGGTCAGCAGAACCAGCAGCATCTGTCACCCCTTCGTCATCCTCCTCAGTTTGCATGCAGCGGCGAAGTTCCTGGAACCTTCGCCGACCTTGCACCACCTGGATAGGGAAAATTATCATAAAATCAGCCATAATACAGGCTCTGCCTAATTGGGAATCCGACGCCCGTGTCTGATATGTGTCAAATCATTATTATGAGCTAATTTAGGTGCGGGTAGTTGCCGTTTAAGGTTGGACCAGACAGCGGACTGAACGGTACGGGGACGTGACGCTATGAAAGCTAGACTGACTGATAGACTAGTTATATGCTTTTTTTGTGAATACAAAAAACACACAAACTTCCGAACTAATATTTGCCGATCATACAAACATTGGGTTCTACCCGGGAATCGAACCCGAGACCTCAGCACAACAGTCGCATACGCTACCACTCCACCACCGAGGCAGTCCGTAATGTTGAGAACCTAGGTAACTTTTTCATAAACATAAAATTTAAATATAATACAAACTATCAGACGTCAGATTAAGTACTGAGGGAAACTGGGACACAGCTCGCTGAAATACGTGTGAATTTAACATTTATTATTAAAAACAAGTTACATGATATATTTCACACAAAGAAGTACAAATATTTGATTTGTACAGTCACCTTATTGTTCACAAGTAAACATCGGATTAAATAAAATAAGAGCGAGGCGCGAACGTCGTCACTATATTTGTACGATTAAAAAAGTTACAATAAAAAACTCTAGTCGAGCCGGGCCATTCGTGCAGAAGGATGGCTCTCCTAGAACTGTCAATTACGGAAAAATGTTTGTTAGAATAGGGTAGATGGCTTTTAATTCAGTGCCTTTATTTAACCTCAAAACGCTAGACGCGTACGTTTTGTATGAAATACTATTTAGTGACGTCACACCTAGCTATTGTCAAATCATTTATATTTAATGTTGATATTAAGATAACAAATCAATAAAGACATTAAATTGATAATGAAGGACAATTCAGGCTCTACTTTGATATGTTACATTTAATGATGCAGGCGAAATAATTTATTTTAAAAATAGGTAACTACCCTATTGTCTATATTGTGACTCTTGCAGTAAGGAGCATAAGAGACGAGAACCAACATAAATGATGGCTCTGAGAGCCTGTATAATGTTGTTTCCAACACGTATTTTACTATGTGTGTGTTTTTCTTTTTTTACATCTTTATCCGTGTAGGGACATATTATGAATGCGGAGTGTCACCACCTACATTAATTCCATTTGGCCAGTGTGGTATACTTAGTAGGCTAAAACCTCCTTTCTAAGGAGAGGCCTATGTCCAGTAGTAGACAAATTAAGGCTGTTGATGATGATGATAATTTATCAAGGTGAGTTGGCGTCACACAGGCGTCCGGCAATAACAGAAAAAAAACGAGTGTGCTTTAGACCACACGACTGAAGTAAAACTTCTATAAATATATGAGAGAAAGAGAGAAAGAAAATGTGTGCTCGCACCTCTCTCTCTCTTGCCCCGACAGTAATATACGAAACGTAACTCTCTCTCTTTCTATCTTCACTAACTTATATCTCCCTCTCAACTTCTGTTCGCCTCGCCCGATCCAACTTTTCGTAACGCCTCATTCACCATTTACTTCCCAAGTCAAGCGTCCGTAAAGAAGTTTTACTTTAAAAAGCCACAACCAATTTTGCAATGAAATGAAGGACTGCGTGATAGAGAACGATGGATGAGCGATAGATTATTGCACCGACCGTTAATACATTTTCGGGAGTAAGAAAATGACATCACTACCCCATCATCAAAGCGCTAGGAAACAATAAATGATTATTGTTTTCTAACGCACATAACGTGTGGTGACGTATTAAGAATACGGAATGTCACCACCCCTATTCATCCCGTGGGTGTCGTAGGAGCCGACTATGGGAACAAACTACGCAGGACAACAGCACTGTAAAGAGAAGGAAAACTTGACACAAACCCTGTACCAGCCTGGCCAGCGTGGCCCAAACCTTCTTTCTAAGGAGAGGCTTATGTCTAGCAGTGGACTATTAAAGGCTGTTGGTGATGGTGATGATGATGATGAACGCACATAATAGATGTAATCCTGCCCAAACGGAGACATACATACATAAATACTTTCGCAATGATAAAATAAATGATTAAATAATAAACATGTTATTAAGTTTTTCAGGTTGACTGTACCTATCAGCAAGTCAAATTAAGAAATGGCGTCGACTCGCATTAAAAAGACGTTAAGTACAATAACAACACAGTTTTAGGAGTTGGCCATAATTTCAGCAGCAGTCTTATATGACGGCCTGTTGGCATAGTGGTTTGTGTAACAGACTGCCACGACAAAGGTCGCGGGGTTCGATTCCCGTTCAAGTCAAAAATTCGTGTGTGTGTATAATGTTTGATTTGGTTTGGTTGTTCCTATGTGTAGTACTTAAGTATGTATTTACAAAAAAAAGTATATATGTATTTATTTCAGTTGTCTAATACCCATAGTACAAGCTATGCCTATATAGAACTAGATGGCGTTGTGTGAATGTGGTACAATATGATTATATTATCAATATCATAATTTAAGAACAGTGTTTCTTTAAAAAAATACTACTGGTATTTTTTAAAGAAACCGGCGGTATCAAGCTAAATTTTACGGACTATAGTTCGTAAAATTTAGCTTGATACCGCTAACAGCTAGAAGCAAATTCGACGACATAACTTTGAACCGACGTCTTAATGACACTTTCGTTTCACAACACCGACAATCTCGATTTTTCGCAATCAAAGAAAGTCTAAATGTATTTTATTAATAAATGCTACCTGGTCCTTATAGAAACATTTATAACATTTATAGACACATAAAACTTATTTTTGTAAACTTTGAAATTATTAATAAATTTATGATTAAGCGCCTACAAGGTTATGTTATTGGTAAAAAAATCTAAAGCGTTGTGTGAATGTGGTAGAATATTATTATTATTATCTTTATTTCATTCTTTATACATATAAATTACATTTTTAAATATATTTATATACAAAAACAAAAAAAAATACATTTAAAAATATAAAAAATAGTATCCCATCGGTATCGGGTACAGGGACCAAGATATCGGTGGTTAGGACTCCAGAGACAGAAACTTCCTCACAATCACACAAGACCCTTAATCCAACTGCCTAACGCGAGCCTCTGAAGATGTTGTTATTATTATTATTATTATTATTAAAACTAACACTTTTAACTGTTGTCCTATCATCTTCGACAGGTGGAACATCATTAGCTGGAGTGCTTGAAGCCCCAGTGCCTGGGGCAACCGACTCCACTTTCTGAGACTTCTCCTTCTCTGTTACTCCACTGCTTGCTGTCACGTTGATGTTCTTGCATAGTGATGATCTTCTGAAATAAACATAATGAGTGATTATTAATACTATTTTTAATAATAACTAGAAATTGCTGGGCGAGCCAATTTCAAATGTTTTTAATGTTTCATAAACCAGTATAATTTTCCAGTCTTAAAACAACAATTTGTAGATCACTCAAAGTGTTATCCCATGTGGGGATCGAACCCACAACATTCAGCGCAGTAGGAAGGTAACCGCTTAAACCACTACGCCATCCGTGAAGTTTTACATACAAACATTAATATGATATGCGCCATATTTGTTTAAAAAGGGGGTACAAAGTATTTTCTTCACATATTAACGTCCTTATAGGATTTGATATTCATTGATATAAGAATAACATGAGAATGATGAAACGTTTTCTTAAAAAATTGCACTGAAAAATAGCATGCATTAATAATAATAACTTCCCACACACGGACAACCTCGGCCTCAATTCTGCTATTTTAATATTTTATCAATAGACTGTCGATGGAATGTCGTCGGAATAGTTTTGCACTTTATCTATTCTACTCAATATGTAAGACCAATGGCCTCACGATGACTTGTCACTGATACAAATGTCGTCGATGTCTTTGTCATATTGTTGAAATTACCATTGATGACCGAGTCTATTAATACTGTGAATTTTTGTTAATAGAATACTGATATTTTACCGATGGCAATGGCGTCTCAATGGCATCTCAATAGTGTGTCAATGGAATCACAGTGGCTTGGCGTTAACATAAAATAGCAGATTTGAGGCACTACACAAAAACCGACACTAGTCCCGGTCGACGAACAAGCTCACGTAAGTCGAGCCAAACACCCCGTTTACACGCTTGTGTTTGTGGACACTTGGGTTGAGGCTTGCCAACCGCGTAAACTGCCTATAAAGTCCCAAGACAATTTATTGGGTGATGAGCACAATCATTTGTTCTGAGTCTAGGTGTAATTTATTAAGGTCAGCTAGTTGAACCTGGTAACGATGTTCTGGAGGGTGAAAAATACTTTAACACTTATACCAACTACATTACCAAAAAAACATTAAAATTGGTCAAGCTATTTTGAAGGTGTGCAACCACAAACACCGTGACCTGAGATATTTATATATCGCACCCTCGGTGCAACAAAGTCACAAGTAGGCAAAATTGCCAAAATGACTTAATATAGTATGCCAAATTGTCTATAAACCATTTCTTTTTTTTCTTTAAACCATTTCGTTTTTACTACTTTTTCGACGAATATTGGGAGAACAGAGTATGATTGGTAAGTAGTGACCGCGCGCCCGCATGAGTCAGTCGTGACTTGGAGCTACACCAGCTTAAAGGTATTAATGACAATTTTTATTCACGTATATTGAAATAACAAAGTGCCATTATAACGATCAAATAATTAAATTATATTTGTACCTGGTGCGACATAGTCACAAGTTACGACTTTTTTTTGTTTCCTTTTTTTTCAATTTTCTAATAAAATCAAAGAAATCTTTTTACATGATACTGTAGTTAAAAGAACAAATAATATAATTTTAATGAGATATCCCGGCTGCTGTAGGTAGTAATCTAGAAAAAAGGAAAATTGATCGAAAAAATACTTAAAAGTCCGTTCCTGTAAAATTACAAAATGACGTGTTGTGATTTTGTTGCACCGAGGGTGTGATATATACCTGCTGACCCGGCAAACGTTGTTTTGCCATTAAAAAATAGGGGTTGATCGTAGAAGTTTGAAAATTTGAAGTTGTATGTGTTTTTCATTGTAAATCATAATAAAATATTTAAAAAAAAAACAAAAAATAGGGTGTTAGCCGATTTTCAGACCTTCCTGATATGCACACAAAATTTAATAAATCCGTCCAGCCGTTTCATAGGAGTTTGGTAACAAACACCGCAACACCAGAATTTTATGTATTAGATTTATTTAATGTTTTCATTTAGAAATACAAAAGTAATTAAGTAAGTAATTAAATTTAGAAAGGTTTCTCTAATTGTTTTCAATGGAATATAAACAGTCACACTCATTTTAAATACACTACACATACATATCCATTACGTTACATCGGATCTGCATTCTTGTATTGTTCAATTTCTCTCATCAAAGATTTCATTGTTCATACTGGTATGGAAGAATAAAACTAAGTACAGTCAGACACAAAAACAACTATGTCAATCCAAAATAGCAGACGCATTGTTAGATGTTCTAGAAAAATTCCCACCTGTAGAAAACACATCGTCCTCTGAGCCTTTTTCCCAAACTCGGTTGGGGTCGGCTTTAATTCTACCACAACACTGAACTTTTTTAGGGATTTAACTACCCGTAACGGTTGCCACAGATGTTCGTATCGAGGGGTCTTAATCTCGGGGGGGGGGGGGGGGGGGGTCTACTTGTTGTAGATGGCCCGAGGTATGTCGCCGCACCAGGGACTTCCTTTCTAGGGTATACCTGGTTCCCCGGCTATTAGTACCCGAGACGGTGTGCGGTTTTAGTCGGTTCGAGTCCGACATGACGGTGGTATCCGAGGGGATTTCCGCACGGAAAAAAAAGGGGGGTCTTAATCTGTTAAGAATGGTCACCCATCCGTCAGACTGACCTGGTTAGGATTGCTACTAACTAACCTACTGAGTTACTACTTAGCCACAAGCCCTGTAGAAAACATTTGTAGAAGTATAAAGTAATAATTATACGACAAATCCTTATTTTGGGACCGTCTTAACTGTTATGGGTTTTCTGCACAAACATACATACTCATCCTAAATCCCCGAAGCAGTATTCAGTGAGTTAAATACTGACATTAAACGAACTTTAATTTTAGTACTCTTTATGTACTTATCGATGTTAGAAATCTTATTAGTTTTACCACAAGTGCATTAATATTATTGTCATCAATGAAGCACTTTATAAGTACAATAGCTATTATAAAAAAAATAGATAAATTTTATTTAGGTTTGCCGGCATTCATGGGCGGCGGTAGTAGCTTTCCATCAGGTGACCCGTCTGCTTTTTTTTTTTTAATGCCACCATACGCCCACCACTGTAACTCCTGTACACCAGGATCCACAGCAGTGACCCACGAACACACCGAGTTATGACACTCGGGAAGTCCCAGGAAGAAATTAAACTGTCTTGGAACCCGCAACGAAATTAATCAGAATAAAATTCGAGGAGTTGGAAATACAGTAAATCCACTTCCCTCCTTAGCAATGAGACAAAATGAAGTAAAATAGGCATACACCCTTTTAAACACGGAAGCACCACGGCCACAAAATATTACGGGAGCTATATTTGATTTCTATAATATGTAAGGCAGAATCGCCTAAACGCACGGAAATTCACCCTAGTTGACACAAGATCCCCATAGTATACTGCCCCAGATGTCCCCTGCAAGCTATTCAGCATTATATAACGTTCATTATACCAAAGACTGCATTCCCAGAGGATATGATGAGCAGACTGTTCATAGTGAGAGTTAGGTGTTGAGCATTGACACAATGGTGACTCGACTAATTTAAATGAAACAGCTTGCTCTTAAAGTTACCATGACCCGTAAGAAATTGAGCGACACAGTGATCCACCTCAAGCCATGTCCTCGACAACCGTTCGCAGATGGAAAGACCTGGTAAAGATGGCGCCCCTTAGATGATTTGTCCCAGCGTTGTTGCCATTCGTCTATGAGGTCATTATAGACATCGGACTGCTGTTGAAGCAATCTTGTAATTTTACCGCGATCCCGCGCGCCCAAAAAATCGCATTCCATGTTTTGTTGTCTTGAATAGTACATGGCTGCACGTCTCTGCACCTCGAGATCGACCGGAAGCACACCCGCCAACACCGGCAAAGCCTCAGTGCTAACCGTCCTATATGCCTTACACAAGAATATCAGTGCAAGTCGTTGGCCTTGTAACAGTTTGCGACGGACAGCGCCTACGGTCGCCCTATCGGCCCACACATGTGCACCATAGCACATAGAACCTAAATAAGTAGCTCCGTATATGATCTTTAATGTATTAAATGATAGACCCCATGTCGCAGTTGATATCCTTGTCAATGCACAGAAACTCTTTTAGACTTTTCATGAACTATTTTATTATGTTCGATAAATGAAAAGTTTCTTTCTAAACTAATCCTAAATAACTGAACTGAAATGAGGTTTTATTTTTTACATTTGTCCTGTCCCCGAGGCCAAGAGACCCGTTGGCTTGTGTGCCCCCTCTTCCATAAAAAAAGAGAATGAAAGAAGAAAGAAGGTAATGGAAACACTACACTAGGTAGTTCATTCAGTTTTCCTTCTCATTGCAGTGCTGTTGTCCCGCAGTTTGCTCCCTTAATCTTCCGTTTAGGAGACTAAACATATTCCAGTAAGATTGAGTAACATTAGGAAGTCATAGTCCCACTAGAATCTAATAACATTCTAATCAGAAAATTAGAAAAAAATAGATATAGGAGCTACAAAATGGAATACCATATTATGTCTCCAATGGCTAATGAGACTGCAGTATTTTTCTTAGGTAAAAAGGCACCCTGATGGTGTGATGCCTACAACTGAACCTCCCCTCCCAGAGTCAGGGGATAGGTTGCGCTCCGTTATCCACATTCACTCGGTGAAAAGCAACAACCTATTTTTTACTATCGCTTTATACTGAAGTCTTGTTTATAGATACACACACAACTATTTATATTAAACTAGTAAAAACAAATGTCTTATAAATATTTGTGTTCACTCCATCATTCATTCTTTCACACATTTTGCATCTAACCAGTGTTGTTTTTAATGATCAATTCTTTCAGAATTAAGGTAGCTTATATATTATTTTAGACTATGAACTATCCCTAGGCCAAATTCTATCCTAATCTGTTCAGCCGTTCACACAATTATTTCCACACAAACTTTCACATTTATAAAGGTAGTTGGACATAAAAGGCCAACAACAAAACAACTGCAACTAATATTGTATTGAGTCATAACTCCCAAATGGTAAGGTAAACAATATTCAAAGTAATCATTAATGCCATAAAACATGAAGTAACATATTAATTCAAACTAATATGTATGCCATTGCCTCATTGTCTCATTATCATTATATTAAGGTTTAAAACCTCATTGTTCGGATAATGCAACCGAGTATTGCATGGGTAGATGGTTGTTTCTTTTAAGCCTGTCGCTAGTTACAAGGACGTTGTAAAACTTCGCCTTAAAACATCTGTTTGACTATGAATGTTAAATTCTAGTACACACTTGTTGCGACACAAAACATAAGACTTGTATCAATTCAGAAATTCTATTGTCTTAAAAGCCGCGTACCTTATACTAAATAAGTATAAAACCTGCTTGTTTCTTTTATATTTAACAACTTACTTAGAACCTTTGATGGGTGTGAACTCCTCAGCGTCGTAAAACTCTTCAGAATCACTGCTATCTCCCATTTTTTTAGGGTTAACGTGTACTACTACACAAAAGCCACAATGTTTTGCAAAAATATTTACATTATCACTATTGGAAAAATAGATTTGCTAGAAAATAAGAAAGTTGAACCAGAAATCATTGAATTATTTGACACTTGTGAGTTGTGACAGTCAGCCAATGACAACCAACAAAAGGTTGTGTTGCCACCATAGAGATATTCTATATGCTTGCCACATAGTTTATTACGATTTCTACTATAATTACTATTAGACGAAAATTCAATTCAATATTTAAGGCTTGTTTTTTAATCTTGGAGACAAGACTGACATTTCGTGGAATGCTATTTTTTTTTGCAATTTTTATATAGTGATGAGGGACTATCGAATATTGACGTTAAAAATTAGAATTATCTTACAATTTTTTCCAGCCCTGTCAAGCTTCACAAAAAATATATAACTGTACAAAAAATATTCTGTATTACTAATTTGTTAGTATAAAACTTCATTTTACAATCAAAACCAATACAGTAGGAAAAAAATACCGGTTCAGAAAGTTAAAAAGTTTCAAATCTACAATTTATAAAACATTTATTGAACTGGTAACACTGTAGCAGTTGGTGACCTTCACTGTTTCTTTTGCAGTGATATGATTGGTTTATTGATTAGAAAAATCAACCTAAATAATTTAACATATATATGAAAAAGTTAGCAAAATAGATAGTACTTATCTACTCTCTTTTCTTTTTCCAGTAGTATTTCAAGTTCTGTGTTGCCAGTATTAGTGATAACTAAAAATGAAAACTATTTATCTGGTCTAAAAATGATTACCATGTATCTGGCTAAACACATTTTTTTGTTAGGTGCCAAATCAGAACATAGTGCTCTAATAACACTGTTATTAGTACCTTGTATGAATATGGATTAGGCGATCCACAGCTTTTTTTTATGGTATAAGTGGGCAAACGAGCAGACGGGTTACCCGATGGTAAGCATCTACCGCCGCCCATGGACACCTGCAGCTCAAAAGTCACAAGTGCGTTGCTGCCCTTGGAGTCACTAATGCTATGTTTTTAATTCGTAAGTAATTTGGGTAGCTTAGTTCTTTTCAAATCTCCTTTTTTATCAATCTGCTTACTATTTAAGTAATAAAAAAGATCTGTGATTTTAATTTAAAAACATAAATAATGTGTACAACCAGAATTAAAGTAAAGAGGTCAATGAATTATTGGTAACTGCGAGATATTTGAGATTTGATTGAGATTGAGATTTTTGAGTCTCTATAAAAACTTATATTCAAATCAAAAATGCATCATCATCATCATCAACAGCATATATAATAATAATAATAATTTTATTGGAGTAACCATGACTCATTGCTTGTTAGTAATACATTAAACTTATCCTATGTTAGTAGAGACAATTTACAATATTTTTATTTATGCACTCCATGAGAGACGGCGCTGCAGTGACCAATGTACCTGCAATCTAACCTCTATGTGATCATGGCTAGTATGCTGTTAGAGCTAGCCCGCACCCTGCGCACCAAAGATGCACACCGTTTTCGCATAATAGTGTGAAAGCAGTCCACTCGCGCCTTTGTGAACATCCCGGACGCACTACAGAAGCGGGGTAGCCCCAATAGCACCCTAAATGCATTGTTGTATTGGATACGGAGGGAGTTGTATGCTTTTCGAAAGACGTGCAGTAAGCTCTGAAGAGTGTGATCTTAACATTATTAGAACAATGTGTAAACCTGCGGCTCAACATGTTCGCTCTTACCGACAACGCCCTCCGTTCCCTTTCCAGATCCTCATCGTCTTTGAGGCTAGGAGTTAAAATATGCCCTAGATATCCAAACTTAAATACCCTTTTCTTTAACATAATAGTCCTCTGCTGGACATAGGCCTCTCCTTAAAAATGCATAACCTTCTTTATTTCTAACGAAAATTTAAATGCCTTATATGTCTTATATTCCTTTTTTATTGATTCCCATTAAAGGATTATTTCTGGAATAAAAACTATCCTCCTCCAAAGAACAAGATGGAAAGACATCTTCACACAAAGTGTTGGATCGGAATGGATGAGAACAGCTAGAGACAGAAAGCAGTGGAAAGTATTGGGGGAGGCCTATGCCAAAGAGGCGACTATTACCTAAAATATTTGAACGTAATAGTTTTAACACAATAACAAATAAAAAAGGATAATAAATCAAAATGTTAAATAAAAATAAAATAAAATAATAAATTATGGAATTCCATTTTTTTTAATGTTTTTATTATTGTAATTAATGAAATGTGTAATTATTATTGCTTAATGATAATTTATAGAAATGTTAATAGTATAATAATTATAGTAAATTGGTTGTAGATATATTAAGAGCATGATAAAAGTAATTTGTGTATTTATCGATTATTGGTAGTAGAATAAATGCTATTTTATTTTTATTTTTTTATGCCCTTTCCCGGGACTCAAACTATCTCTATTCCAAATTTAATCTAAATCGACTTAAGCTTGAAGTGGTAACAGACAGACAGACACGCTTTCGCTTTTATAATATTAGTGTGAATATGGATTAAGTAACTGTATAGTGACATTTGGTTAGTTCTTAAGTCCGATTAACCCATGTATATTGAAGTTTAAATAAACTAGAATGAAAAATTTCAATAACTTGTTATGTTTATATAAAATGAAATAAATAAATATGTTACGTTTTAGGCTAAATTTTTGATATGTTTACTATATTTTGCATGCCCTTTGGTAGCAAAAGGAATATGCATTGTCCCTACACCTGTAATGCTCTTTAGTGTTTGTGTCCCGCAATAGATAAATCTGAATCTGAACAACGTAAATAATAATAATATTAACTTCACACATCTTGCCATACCCCACTCCCTGCCTACTAACTCAAAGGGCAACCACAGATTACCCTCAAGGGGGTAATCTGTGGCTGCAACGAACTTGATAACAGGCGCCTCATCTGCTTAGGGGGCATGTTGCTCCCGTTATGGAGGATTGGCGCGAGAGGCGTCACGGGACCCTCTCATACCGACTGACGCAGGTGATCACTGAGAAAGGATGTTTCGGGGATCACCTGTGTCTGATCCGCAAGAACCCAACGCCTGAGTGCCACCACTGCGATGGCCAAACCGTGGACACGGCTCTCCAGACGCTGGCAGTGCAGTGCCCGGCGTGGGTTGAGCAGAGGCGAGACCTCGTGGCGGCCATTGGAGTGGGAGTTCTCTCGCTCGATAGCCTGATTGCTTCTATCGTGCGGAGCGAGAGTGCGTGAAACTCTGTCATCTCCTTCTGCGAGCAAGTTATGCTCGCGAAGGAGACGGCGGAGCGGGACCGGGAGAGGTTTAGAACTCTCCCGGCCCGCAAGGCCCGGGAACGGGCCAGGTACCGCAGGCGACTCAGGCGCCGGAGGTCGCAAAACGACCTCCATCCTCCATAAGCGCAGGCCTGGGGGTAACAGGTGAGACTATCTGTCACCCTAGCAGAAGCAGGCCGGGGTGGTGCGCTCGCTTCCAGGGAGCAGAGGGAACATGGGGTTCCCGCACGGGGGGGGGGTCGCCTACTCGTCTGTAGATGGCCCGAGGTATGTCGGGGCACCAGGGACTTCCTTTCTAGGGTATACCTGGTTCCCCGACTATTAGTACCCGAGACGGCGGGCGTGCGGTTTTAGTCGGTTCGAGTCCGATAGGTGGTATCCGAGGGGACTACCGCACGGAAAAAAAAGGGGGTATGTTACTATCCCCCACATAATTAGCAGTAATAATTAATAATAATTAATTGCGTTAAAATAATATATTTATTCAAATAAAAACATAATAGCTAGTCGTCCAAATTTCATCCTTTTTTTCCAAACATTCCATAGCAACTGTCAAAAACGAGCTTGGGCGCGCCTGCGTGATGTAATGCGCAGAGCAACTGACTGTCTGACTGTCTGTTACCACATGCTCATTTTTCTCCCTTTTTTTTCCGTGCGGAAATCCCCTCGGAGCTCATTTTTCTCCCTGTAGGTATCATAAAAATATGACTATAATTGACACGACGCTAACTGTTTACTTTTGCAAAAAAAATGCCTTTAATATCTTGTTGTATGCTTTAATTAGTTACGGCGTTTTGAACAAGGATTACCTTTTTATGTAAATCATTTAGACTGTCTTAAATTCGAACATTATAAATGGGAATAATAATATAATGTTTGCTTTATTTACGTAAATACTAACTATAACGTTGTTGGGTGTACAGAAAAAGACCTAGAAACTGCTGTTAATTAATCAAAATCAAAATCATTTATTATTTGCATAAAACAGGTATAAAGGTGGTAGAAGATACATCATATAATACATGGATACGCTGTAATATAACCTCTTAAAGGTGTGCAAATATTTAGACATACATAGATATTTAAAAGATTATTATTTAGACGTTCAAGAATTAAGACTGCGTGAAAATGTATTGGTACTCAAAATTTAAAAAGCAGCGATTTCATTTTTACAATTTCCATATTATGTCATATTATGTCAGAGAAGGAAAACTTGAAACAAACCCTATACCAACCCGTCTGGCCAGCGTGGTATAGTAGGCCAAAACCTCCTTTCTAAGGAGAGGCCTATGTCCAGCAGTGGACTAGTATAGGCTGTTGATGATGATGATGATGATGATGTCCAGTGTCACTCTCACAATGATAACCAATCTATCGACACCTCCCAAGCCAAAATCCATCTAGTCGTTTAATTCACTCTCGACAGCGAACGCGTTCGACCTTGTGATTGGTTAGGATTTCAGTGCTGGCCAGTCGAAAAATATGTGAAATTGTGAAATAAACCCCGAACTTGGCACTCTTGGCACTCAAGTGCAAGTTTATTTCACATTTACTCAATCGTCACGGTGACAGCGTTCTTCACTGCGATCGTTTGACACAACCCAAATTAGTTAAGTTACATAATTTAGTCTATAATTTGTTTTTTTTTATTCTGTTGTAAGTTCTAAACATGGACGTATTAAAACGTTTG